CTACGACGACCACTACTACAACTATTACTACTACTATTACTACGACTACTAGTACTACAAGTCACTGCTACTGCCACTACTCTCAGTACTACTACTACTACCACTACTACTACGACTACTACTACTACTACTGCTGCTGCTACGACTACTGCTACTACTACTACTACTACTACGACTTTGACTACGACGACCACTATTACAACTACTACTACTACTACTACTACTATTACTACTACTACTACTACTACTACTACTTCTACTACTACTACTGTGACTACTAGCACTACTACTACTACGACTACAAGTGCTATCATCATGATTTGCATTACAACTACGACTACTATTCTTACTACTACCACTACTACTACAAATTCTTGTAGCACCACGACTTCCATTACTGCGACGACGACGACTACTGCTCAACGACTACGACTACGAATGCGATTATTTCAATGACCACTTCTCCTTGTACGACGATTGCTACTACTACTACCACCGCTACCACTACTTCTTTTATGACCCCCAAGATCACGACTACGACGACGACTGATATTATCATTGCCACTTTGCGTGTACTACCACTACTACTACGACTACTATGACGACGCTTTCTACGACTATCATTCTTACTACTTCCGGTACACTCACTTCCCACGGGCGAACTATCTTTCATGATTGGTGTTTACTTCCGCCCACAAATCCCCGCGCTCAGCCTTCCCCCACGGGGACTTTAAAAGCTTCCTGGGTCAAACCTTCTCATTTTGAATTTGCCAGGTCCGAAACCTTTTTTTCGAAATCCCTTGTCAGGCCTCCCTCCTCCATCCACCAATGCTATTACTGGCCCTGCTGCTACCACTGCTACGACTGCTACGCCTACTCTTACTACTACAAGTACTACTTCTACTCTTGCTACTATCACTCATACGAGTACATCTAATGCTCTTACTATCGCTGCTGCTACTACTACTACTACTACTACCACTACCACTACTACTACGACTACTACCTCGATTATTACTCTGACCATTACTAGTACGACTTCTACTACTACTACTACCACTGCTACTACCACTGCTACTACTACTACTACTACTACTACTACTACTACTACCTGTACGACTACGACTACTATTACTACTACTTCTACTACTACGACTACTACTACTACTACTAGTACTACTACTACTAGTACTACTACTACTATTACTACTACTACTACTACTACTACTATTACGAGTACTACTACTACTACTACTAGTACTACTACCACTACTACTACTACTACTACGACTGCGATTGCTATTGCTACCTTTACTCCAACTCTTGTATTGCTGCTACTACTACTTCTACTACTACTATTGCTACGACTCCGAGTACCACTAGTACTAGTACGCCTCCTAGTACGACATTGGGCTACGTCAATTACTACTACTAGTGCCACGACTACGACTACTACTATTACTATTGTTATTGTTACTACTACAACTGCGATTGCGACTACAACCTACTATGACAACTACTAGTACAACTGCTTGTACGACGAGTACTACTATTCTTACTCCTATTAGTACTACTGCTACTACCACTACTACTACTACTACTACTACTACTACCACGACTACGACTACTACTACTATTAGTACTACGACTAAGACTAACACGTGTGCTAACCATCTTGTGACTAATACTTTTACCAGTCATACAACTTACTATTACTACTACTACTACTACTACTACTACTATTACAACTCGTTCAATTTCTATTACTACTATGCCTAATTCTGCTACTACTTCTAGTACTGCTTTACTCTTTACACCTACTACCCCTACTACCATAGCTCCTGCTACTACTAGTACCAAAGCATCTGTTTTCTACTACTACCACCGATCCATCCTTCCACGTCCACTGCTAGTACGATCGCTAATATGTTCGAAAGTACTAGTATCACGTTCACTACTACCACCATTGCTACCACTACTCCTACTGCTAATTTAATTACTATAATCACTATTCATACAACCACTATTATTACCACTAGTAGTAGTACTACTATTACTACTACTACTGGTACTGTCACTAGTATCTTTACTGCTACCACTATTGCAGCAGCTTCGTTCATTACCACCACTACTCTTACTACTACTACTATTACCACTACTACTACTACTACTACTACTACTACTACTACTACTACTACTATTACTGCTACTACTACTACTACGACTACTTGTACTAGTAGTACTAAAACGACTTACTATTACACGTACTACTACTATTGATGTTACTATTACCACTACTACTTCTACTACGACTACTACCACTACTACTACTACTACTACTATTACTATTACTACTACTACTACTACTACTACCACTGCTACTACTGCGGCTAGTACTAGTATTATTACTACTACTACTACTACTACCACTGCTACTACTGCGGCTAGTATCATTATTACTACTACTACTACTACTACTACGAATACTACTGCGACTAGTACTTTGGCTGCTACGACTACTTGTACAACTACTATTACTACTACTACTATTACTACTGCTACTACTACGATTACTACTACTACTACTACTACTACTGCTACGGCTACCACTACCACTACCACTACCACTACCACTACTACTACCACTACTACTACTACTACTACTACTACTACTACTACTACTACTACTACTACTACTACTACTACTACTACGACTACGACTACTACGACTACGCTACTACTACTACTACTACTACTACTACCACTACTACTGGGACTGCTGCTGCTATTACTACTACGACGACTACTACCACGATTACCACTACTACTACGGCTCCTACTACTACTTCTGCTACGATTCTGCCCACTGTACACCTGTACACCGTACACCCGTAAGGGCGATCTGCTGGGGCAGAAATTTCTTATCCCCCCAGGACATCCGTAGCTTGTCATCCCCAGGGTTTCGTTCTCAGGGGTGTTATTACGATTCGCGGCGGGTGATCCTTTGGGGATAGGTGTCGAGATTCTCTGTGCCACATATCGTCGAGTCAGGTATTTGGGCCTTTCTGGCAGTGTGGCGCACGTGGGTAAAGGGGTCTGCTGGTCAATTTTGCTCGGATTGCCTCTTTGGGATTTTTTTGGGTATTCGGGCAATCTCTACCTGCCCAAGCTCCATGTCGGGGCCTGCTCCTCACGTGCATCATTTTTCTGTTTTAAGGTCTTCCTCGCCGTGGACCTCTGGAACCCCGCTGACTTGAAAGTGAACTGGGGCTTTTGTGTTGTGATGGCGTGGACCCATTCAGGCGTCGAGGGCCAAACAGGGCCAAACACCACTGGTCAACTGTTAACAGAGGGGCCGGCGTGGCCGAGAGCCGCTCTGAGAGCCAAGCATGGTGAACGGCAAGGCGATAATGAGGCGGGCTGGGCAAGTATAGAGCTCAATGGCGGTGGATGCAGTGGGACCGCGGCGCAAGCGAGCCAAGAATCAGGATTGCAAGGGGAATGCAAACCCTCGACCCGCGAGATGCGGCCAGCATCGGTGGACTGGAGCATGAAGTTTCCCAAGGTACGGGCCCTAATTACTTGTTACTCGACACTGGACAACGGCCTCCTTCGAGCCCCTCGGGCTTCAGAGTTTCGGACCCTTTCCCCAGGACCAGTTTGTTTCGCTCTAGTTCCATGTTGGTGGTCTTGGGGCTCGCGAGCGGGCCCCCGAGACCGAAATCGACGGAACGCACTAGGACTGAAAAATCATTCCGTGGGAGATCTGTATCCGTACGACTTGCAAGAGGTGCGTAGTGGCGAAACATTGAATTGACCTGCAGGACTGAACTGAGCTCAGCCCCCTCGCCCGCGACGGCGGACCCTCACTTTTGGGATGGTCCACTACTCGTGGAAGCGCTTCACCTCTAGCACGTCGCGCTCACAGACCCAGACGTCCATGGCAGCGTGTGTCTGGAATGGGAGGGGTAGGCGAAGGTACCGTGTCGCGTGGAGGTGTGCCTTTATGCTGTGCATTGTGGGCTTGCCGCCATTGCCTGTGGAGGACAGTGTACCTTGGGAGGTGGCTTGGGACCCCTGCGATGCCTGAGCTGGAGATGGAAAAGCACTCGGAGCACGCGGTGTTTTCGGAAGAGCACTGCAATCAACACCGAAGGCAAAACCAGTGGGCAGGGGCTCCTTCACGTGACAAACACCCTTGGAGGCCTGGCACAGCACCTCATGGCATCATGGCCCACCGTTCCTGCCGAGACATAGGGTTTGGAAAGAAACCTTCTGGAAGCTAGCTAGCATAGAGCGACGGGTTCGGCATCGACGGAACGCGCTAAGCCAGAGCGCTGACGTTGCATGTCATAGTTGCGTGCAATATCTTCCGTCCACTGCCCGATCGGCCCACCTGGCTGCGATGCAAAGATGCCCCAGCTCTGGGCCTGTATGGGGAGGGAGAACCCCAAGAAAAGGTGGTCAGCAAGCAGATACTGTAGCCCCAAGCAGTGAAACGCAGGGAGTAGTTCGATACCGGATGTGTGCCACATCCGGGGGAGCAGTGGGGAGGAGGGAAGGGTAGGGAGGGAGGGAGGGAGGGAGGGAGGGGGGAAGGGATGATGATGATGATGATGATGATGATGAGGAGGAGGAGGAGGATGAGGAGGAGGATAAGTGGCGGGCAGGGAGGAAGGAGGAGGGAGGGAATGTGGCACGGAGGTAGGTAGGGGGGGTGAGGAAGAAGAGGAGGAGGGAGAAGAAGGAGGAACGATAATGGTGAAGTCAGGACAGAGAGGAGAATTACAGAAGGAGCGCGATGTGAGGGTGAGGAAAATTTAAGGAGGGAGAGGCTAGAGCAGCAAATGGATAGATAGGGGGACGAGGTCGAGAAGATGAGCACGGGGAGCAGGGCGATGGGGAAGCCGGGATGAAAAAAAGGAGAGAATGGGAGGAGCAGGAACATCGCCTGTGAGAGGCAGGGATGAGGCTGCGGAGGGCCTTGGGCTGGCTGGTAGGACCCCGAGAGGGACGGGGACGGCGTCCTGAACAGGGAGGACGCGTTCCCAGACGACCCGTTCGAGTGGCGCGCGCGCGCACCCCGCAAACCCCGGGAGGAGTGGGGGGGAGGGGGGCTTGAAGATGAAGGCAATTGCAATTCCTCCCTGCTCTTCTCTCCTCCGGCTTCTCCTCCTCCGCCTCCTTTTGGTGACCTGGGAGGCCACAGGAGCCCAGGAGAGGGTAGTTGCGTCTTTCCTAAGGATGCAACCGAGGACCGAGGTATGTTATTTGAGATTGAACATTGATCCACGCGAATCCCAGCTTTCAGAAGCCTTGCTTCGACATTTGGGCCGGCCCCAGGGTGCATGACAGCACTTATGCATTTCTTGATGTCCGCAAGAAGATCAGACCCATTCCTAAAGCTGCAAATGTGGCGTGCAACGCTGGGGAGCGCGGCATAAAGATCATCAGCGGTGAGACCCGGGTCGTCGGCAAAGGCTGTGATTTGCCACGGAAGGTCAGACGAAAGAGCGCACGGGAGCCTGAGGATCGGGTCTAGGGCGAGGGCGAAAAGGATACCAGAAGGAGGACATTTGTGGCACGCTGCGCGCTGATGGAGGCCCTTTTCCGCTGTTCGTCGTACTGGCAGGGAGGCCTTGCAAGTGCACACCCGCGCGCCAAGGCACTCGTTCCCTCAGGCTCTCTTTCTCAGGCTACGAGAAACTGGACTCTATGCAAGCTGGAGACCTGCGCATTCGTAGCATTGCTGCCCGTCTCCGCGTTGCCCTCAATGCCGATTGATTCCCGAAGCCAGTGGGCCAGCTCCAGAGCACTCGATCTGGAGACAGCTATACCGTTGCCTCCAAAGCCTTCCCGTTGTTCAAGGACTTGTTGTTTGTACACGTCTTACACCCAATACACCCTTTCGTTTCCCGAGGACTTTTGCAGCAACACACCCATAATACATTCATGACGTTCATCACGCCCGAATTTCAGACCACCTCTATCTCCTAATCATCGCCCCCGGGCTGGAAAATCGACCGCTAGCCTGACTCCTGCTGACATCCAGCGCTCATTCATATTCCTCCTTCAATGTAGTGACATGGTGTCGCCCTTTATTTATCTTGCCCTCTTGAAGCCGATTTCAACTGCTGGAGTACCCCGAGGTTTTTTCAGACATGTGCGCATACTTGCACATTTCGATGTGCGGGTTTGGCGGGGGTGATACTATCCATTGCGTGGTCTGCCCGATTATCCCGCCTCTCATCCGTCGATTTCTTCCTCTTCTTCCTGATCATTGGGGCTCATGTCCTCCGAGCGTCTTCCTCACTCACCTCCCGCCTACGGCGAATGACACGGTCATCCCACCTTGATTCATTGTTTTCGGTTTCTCTTTCGTTTTTCAAGCCCAGCGCCCCCGCCCCGCCCCCTGTCCGTCTCCCACCAAGCGCACTGGAAAGTCATCAGCCGACCCACTGCAGCTCGTGCGCTTGCTCGTCCCCGTGGCCTGCACCGCGCGCCTTCGTCCCACGCTGCGTGTTCCGCAGCGGCGCTGGCGGCTCACATCCAGCTGCCTAGGAGCTTCTCACGAGCCTAGGAACCGCTGCCTACGAGCTGCGCGAGCCTGAGCAGCGTTGCCTGGGAGCTGCGCGAATCCTTGCGGCCCGCGCATTGAGAACGGCCAAGAAAACGTTTGCGGGACACGCTGGAAGCTACAGCAAGCCGCGCCGGCGCCCCCTGACTGGAAGCCCGTGGGAGGGTCAAAGTCACGTCGAACTCCAGCGTTAGTTCGCGAGCACTTCCTCGCTTCTTTCCCAGTGATCGACGGGCTGCTGGACCGTCCTGGCGTTGTCGACCGCGGGCGCCATTATTCGCGCGGCGAGTCCGAGATCTGCTTACGGCTTTGCGATGGTTCAGGTATTCGTCGGTTTGCAAATGCTTTGTACCCTGGCAGTGGCGGCGGCGACGACGATTCAGCCAATGGTGGTGCACGCCGTGTTCCTGAAGCGCCTGGCGGAGTTTGTGATTCGGATAGTGACGAGGCTCCAGGGAGTGGCCGGGCTCTGCTGCTCGGAGTGCTGGTGGTTCCAGTTTTCTGTTGACCGTCCCGCGCGGCCGCGGGGGACTGGCGGCCAGGTAGGCGTTCGTCAGCTGTCTTGTGTGCTGGCGTTTTTGTCTTGGTGCAGGACGCCAGGCGTCAGACAGAGGTCAGCAGTGGCGACGGCATCTGTATGATGGGCGGGCTTGAGCTTGGATCACGAGGCGTTGGTTGCCTTGGCGGCGTTGCTGCAGAAGGCCAGCATAATTGCGCAACTTGGTTTTGGCCGAAGGTTTTCGTGGACGCGAATGGTGACATTATTGGATCGTGTGACCTCGTCTGCAGCGGCCAGCAGCAGCAGCAGCACCTTGATGCAGGAACGCACGGAGACGGACACCAGGCAGGCGGACACGTGGACCGACACGCAGCTGCGAGGCAAGGACACACAGGCTGGCCTACAAACGTACCAACAATAAGCATGAGCCCAACAAGCCGCAGGAGCGCGTGGAGATCGACAAGCAGCAGGAGCACAAGGATACCTACCCGGAGTGCAAGGAAACGAATGCGGCGAGCACCTCGATTGACGAGCAGCAGGGGGCCCCAGAGACCTCCCAGCCGACCGAGGGCATCGAGCAGCCTCGCATGGTCGCATGGTGGCCGGCCAGCAGCCACATCACCGGCGGGACGGTGTTTGCATGCTTGAGGCTTCGCATCCCTCAGGCGGTCGCGCGCGAGATTGGCAGAGGCTGCCGAGGGTCGCGGCGGGGAGGTCAAGATCCACCAGTTCGTCTTGGCCGTTGACGGCGCAAAGCACGTGGAGCGCCAGTACGTGTGATGCCGACGCGAGAAGCTCCAGATCGTAGCGGAGCCCAACTGTATGAGTACAGGTTGATATGGCGCGTATGGGCGTGTGGGCCGTGGTTCGATGCCGCCTGGAGGTGGGACGGGGCTGCCGCGCACCCGCCTGCGCCCTCGCATCCCCAGCTCACTTCCACGGGTTCGACGGGGCTGACCCGCGCCCGCTTGCGGGCGCCACGCTTCTTTCCAGCACGAATCGCTATAACGGAGCATGACAGGATCATTTTTCGTGTACGTGTATATGAGATACGTATGTTCAGACAGAAAGATTGGTCACCTTTCTCCTCCTCCTCCTCCTCCTTCTCCTCCGTTTCCTCCTCCTCCTCCTCCTCCTCCTCCTCCTCCTCCTCCTCCCTCTCATCCTGCTCATCGCCATCACCATCATCCTCATCCTCCCCTCTCTCCCTAATTCACGCATGGGTTCAAACGAATCGATGCGCAGTGCGGCGGGGAGCTGACCGTCCTCCCTCATGAACCGCAGTGACTCCGAGGTAATCGCGCATCGCGCGTCTCCCAGGGCGAAGCTAGCTGACCTAGTGTAGGTTGAGGTGGATGCGGGGACAAGAAGGGAGGGGTGGATGGGGGAGAGAGTATGAGAGGGGTGTGGCGGTTCGAAGAGGGAAAGGGTACTGGTGGTGGAGGGTGCAGGAGTGGAGGGGGAAGAGCGGTAAGACGGATTGGAAGGGAGTGGAGTGGACAGGGAGTGGAGGAGTCGGGATGGGTGGGGGGATGTTGGGTTGAGAGGGGAGGGTGGCGATAATGGGACGATGCAAGACAATGATATCATGGGGGAAGAAAGACCTCCTCATCCTCTTCCTGGTCCTCCTCCTCCCCCTCCTCCTCCTCCACCCCCTTCTCCTCCTCCTCCTCTTCCCCCTCCTCCCCCTTCTCCTCCCTCCTCCTCCTCCTCCTTCCCCTCCTCCTGCTCCTCCTCATCCTGCTCTCCTCCTCCTCCTCCTGGTCCTCCTCCTCCTCCTTCTCCTCCTCCTCCTCTTGTGTGGAAAGCGGCGGTGACGGGGAAGATGGCTTGTGCGGCCGAGGGCCGACATCGACGGGGACGGCATCGGGAACAACCAGGCCGCCGCGCTCTCTATCTCTCTTCTCGGCGCCCATTGCAGCGCGCACGGCACGGATACCTCTCTCGACTTGGCAGGTGGTTAATGCTTTTTCCTTTTTACATCAAGCCAGGACAATATACATGTATTGTTCTTCTTGGTTCCTCCTTCAACTCATCCTCTCTTGGTTCCTCCTTTCCTCGCCCTCTCGCCCTGTGCCCTCTCTCCCCCATCCCCGTCCGCCCTTTGCACTCATCCTGTTCCTCCTCCCCTCTTCGTTCTGGCCCTCCTTCTCCCCGCCCCTCACGTTCACAGTTTTTTTCCGATTCGCCCCCCCCTAGTCCATCCCCTTCACCTCTCTTCCTCATGCTGGCTTCCCTCTTCGATTCTCCCTCGTCCCTCCTGCCTCCCTCGCTCCTTCCCGCCCCCCATCACCCCTCTTAATTCCCATCCTCCCCGTCACCGTCCCTCATTCATGTGGACCTACCTTTTTGGAGCCAGGCCACCGTCCCACATTTGAAACCGATGATAATAATGGGTAGCTTTCCCAAGGGTACCCTTGTATCCGTGCCTTTTTGGTCCATCCTTGACTGCTGTCGATGGCTCGCCGCGCTCGAAAGAGCTTCAACCCAGGCGTCCAAGGGGCCGCATCCTTCTCGCGCATCCTTACTATCAGTTTTGAATGCACCTCGTTTAGAGCCAGCCCACCGTCCTAGTGCCAGTCCTGCCTCACCCACCTCCTGCGGCGAAGCAGGGAGCCGTGACACTGGACGCGGTGGCCAAAGGATCTGGAGTGGCAGAGGGACATGCCTCGAGCGCGGACACTGTCTGGCACCCGGGTCCAACGCGCGGGTCGGCCCGCCGCGGTGCGCGCTGGGGTTCCTCGCCGCTGTCCTCGTCGTGCCCGGGCGGCCTGTGCAAGCCGAGCGCACAGTGGGGGCGCGCAGCAAGAAACGGACTGGCTCTCGTGAGGGTACCCCTAGTTTTCTCGCTCCGCGCGCTGCGCGGTGACTTCCAGCGGCCGTGCTGCTGCGTCCAGGGTGCCTGGGCTTTCCCCTCGTGTGTAAGCTTCTTTTTCTCCTCCCCAGGGTAACGTTCGTCACCCAGGCCAAACCCTCCCCCCACCCACTCCGGGTAACGCTAGCGATCGTACTTGGGGGGGGCCTGGCCCGGACTCCCCCTTTGCATGCTGGGTCGCGGACGCACCCTGGCGGCGGGTGCCCGCCGCGCCCGCCGTTACCGTCACCCTCCGGCCCGCACCCCCCCCCTCCCCCAGGCAACGACCGCTGCCTGGGAAATAAAAGAACGGTCACTGCGCGTCGTGCGCGCGGGTGTTCAGGGTTGTGTCTCTTGCGAGGGTGTTTCTTGCGGCCGCGCCCGCACTGTACGGCTTCGCGGAGCTCCAGGCGTCGTGGAGAAGATCACGCCCAGAGGTGTTTCTCAATGTTCGGCCTCGGTCAGGGCCCCCAGGCCGTTAGGAGACGGTTCGAGCGGGTCCCCAGGAATCGGCCCAGACCTTTGAGGGACCATGCCATGAAAAACCGCACGCACGACGTCGGATGCTCCAGATCCTCGATGGCGCACCCAGGCTCTGAACCCGCTTGGCCTGGCTCCTCCCCCATGGCTGTCCGGTTCGTTCTCTCCCTGTGCCCCATGCCCCACCCCGCTGCACCCTCCACCGGTCACGGAGCTCCTGCCAGGGGGGGGCCTGCGAAGGCTACGGGAAGAGCGGGAGAAGCGCGGGCGTCGCCCACCCCGAGGGCCCCTGGGGCGGGAGGCTCCGCCCCTGCAAGAGCCAGCCCAGGTGGGACGCCGAGCCCCCCCGACCCCCCCTCGGTGTATTGGGGGGCTCCCGGCACATGGGGGGGGGGTCGGTGTTCCATTTTCGGTGGGCTCTGGTGGTCTCCTGGGGTCTTCTCTGATCTCCCCCGCTCGCTTCTCCCCTCCCGTGCGGGGAGAGCGGGAGGAGCGCTGTCATGGCTTCCGCCGGCAACATGCTGGAAGGTGCCCCGTGCTCTCAGGCCGTGCAGCGCGCTAGCTCAGAGGAGGTGTACTGTGCTCTCGGGCGGAAGTGGCATCAGCCTTCGCTCGCGACCATCTTCCCCCCCCCCCCACACGCAAGATGGCGGAGCTGGTTCGCCTCCTGGGTCGCAGCGTAGTTCGCTCCTGCGCGCTTCGTGCCTAATTAAGATCTTGGCGCGGCTGCCTCGTTTCTGGACGGCGCGCGGTTGGACTGCGACGCTCGCGAACAAAGAAAATAACCCCACCAGCCCCCCCGCTGCCCCCCCTCTGTTTTTTTCCCCCTTTCCGTCGCGCGTAATTTCGGCCGCCGCTTAGTTCGTTGCGTTCTTGGACGCCGCCCGACTGCTCTCGGCACCCATCCAGATCAGGGAAGTGGGCAGCACACAGAGGAAGGGTACCCAGTGGAGGCCTCTTGGGGCGTCTTGGGGCCTGTCGACTCGTCTCGGGTGCCTCGGAGAGCTTCTTGGGGCCTGTTGGGGGTCTCTTGGGGGCCTCTTGGGGGTTTCTTGGGCGCTTGTTGGGGCCTCCTGGGGCCTCCTGGGCGCCTCTTGGGGCCCTCTTGAAGCGCTCTTGGGGCCCTTGGGAGCGCTATCGGAGCCCTCTTGGGCCATCTTGGAGCCATCTTGAGGCCTCGGCGAGAACGTCAACACACATTGTCCTAAGGTTTTGGACGGATGTTGACCTTTCGGGGCCTCCAGGGGGAGCTCTTTGGCCACTTGGAGTCGTCATGGGGCGGTCTTGGGGCCTCTCGAATTATCGTGGGAGCCATCTGTAGGCATCTTGGGATATCTTGAGCTTGGAGGTCATGTTGGGCTCTCCCAGGCGCTCTTGGAGTCATCTGAAGCAGTGCCACCCTTCAGGAGGCCAACATGTCGCCAACACCCTAGTAATCCGTAAGGGCTTCGCCCCCTGCCGCCGGCCCCCTCTCTCGGAGAATGGGCCATGGAAGAGCTAAGTCATGAGGCTTTGGCGCTGTCGCGCAGCAGTATCGGAACTTCATGCGAGGCCGATTCGCAATCGGCAAAACCAACTGATCACAAAAGGGTTTACCACACAGGGCGATTGGTGAGACGTGTATGGTTTACGACGTTGGTTACCACACCTTGGGATTAAAGGGCCGAGGGAGTACTCGCAGTTTGGGTTACCACGCCTTGCGATGGATGTCCGTGAGGGGTGGCACCGAATTTCAGAAATGTGGCAAATCCCGTGTGTTTTTGGACCCTGACCCCGCGGATCTGCGTGAGGGGTGGCACCGAATTTCAGAAATGTGGCAAATCCCTGTGTTTTTGGACCCTGACCCCGCGGATCTGCGTGAGGGGTGGCACCGAATTCAGAAATGTGGCACATCCCATGTGTTGTTGGACCTTGACCCCGCGGATCTGCGTGAGGGGTGGCACCGAATTTCAGAAATGTGGCAAATCCCATGTGTTTTTGGACCCTGACCCCGCGGATCTGCGTGAGGGGTGGCGCCGAATTGCAGAAATGTGGCACATCCCTTGAGTTTTTGGACCCTGACCCCGCGGATCTGCGTGAGGGGTGGCACCGAATTTCAGGAATGTAGCAAATCCATTGTGTTTTTGGACCATGACACCGCGGATCTGCGTGAGGAGTGGTACCGAATTTCAAAAATGTGGCAAATCTTATGTGTTTTTGGACCCTGACCCCGCGGATCTGCGTGAGGGGTGGCACCGAATTGCAGAAATGTGGCAAATCCCCTGTGTTTTTGGACCCTGACCCCGCGGATCTGCGTGAGGTGTGGCGCCGAATTGCAGAAATGTGGCACATCCCCTGAGTTTTTGGACCCTGACCCCGCGGATCTGCGTGAGGTGTGGCACCGAATTGCAGAAATGTGGCAAATCCCATGTGTTTTCGGTCAATCAACTAGTTACAGTAACCAGCAAGAAGTCAACTAGTTATAGTAACCAGCAAGAAGCAGAACTGTAACACTGGAAACTACAAGCTACAACTGGTAGTGGAAACTGCGAACCCGTGCCTACAGCCTGGTGGCCCCATAAGGGGGCCGGCGGACATCAATGATTTTTGGCATTGTCGCCGAGGCCTCCTGGAGCGTCTTGGGTGCCTCTGGGGGGCCTCTTGGGGGTCTCTTGGGGGCCTCTTGGGGGCATCCTTGGGGCCTCTTGGGGGCCTCTTGGGGCCTCCTGGCCACCTCTTGGGCCCTTCTTAGGGCACCCTTGGGAGCCTTTGGAGCGCTTGTGTGGTTATCTCGGAGGAGATCGATCAAAGAAGGGGGGGTCCTTAATTAGCGTCGCCCCCCCCGGAGGCCAAAATAGGCCCCGAAGGGGAAGAAAGGGGGTTCGAAAAGGAACCGCCCTAAACCACCTACGCCCAGAGGGCTGGTGGGATTACCGTTCCCCGAAGTGCGCGGATGGCTGGTGCATCCTGCTGGCACCAATGCCACGGCGGACGTTCCAGTAGAGCGAAGGTGCCCGCGCTTTTGTTGCCTGTGGCTGAGTGGGGCTCACACGGTAATTCTGCTCTGCTATGTTCAGGCGCGCTTGTTTGCCGTTGTACAGTTTGCAGGCTCTTTTTGCTTTCGAGGGGTGTCTGTGCATGCTGAAAGCTCGAGCCAGCGCCATCGTCGAGCAAGTCTCGCCAGGGCCCCTCCAACCATTTTTGTCCACCTGGCTGCCTTCGGTGCGAGCCAGGCCTGGCGGCAACACAGTGCAGGAAAATCGCCGGGCGTATCGTGAAGCACAGTGCGATAGCCACCGAGAACAACGCAGCAGGTTTCAGAACTGGCTCTTCGAACAGTCCGCAACCAGGCCAGGCTCCGAGCTGGGGGCTGTCATAAGCTCGCCCCGCAGGTCATGGTTGACCCAGCCGATCCGACAAGGCTGTTGCAAGGAATCTCATCCGTAGTCAACGGGGCAGCCCTCTACATCCAGCGGCGGGACTGCCCGCCATGGAGTGAGCAGTGGGACAAGCGCAGGGCAGCATACGTCAACCCGCAAGTCAAAGCTATCCGCTTTGCCGCGCAGAGGGCGGTACGCGAATGGGGATCACATGAACCATACAGTGTGACTGACATGGCCCAGGCCCAGGCCCAGGCTCGCATCAGAACGTCTGCGCACTGCGGGAGTACCGTGCCCTGTGGATGGTTGATTGTGTTGCACTTCGACCGCAATCTCTCCAGCGCAGGCCAGTTTGGAATCCTGGGGGAGAAGGAGCGTGTCCACGAATTGGTTCCCTCTACCGTAGCGCGGGAGTGCCGCGCTCTGCACGCCACGCCGGTAACCCGCAACTGCCACCGTCTCCCTCTGGGAGGCGCATGCGGCACGTCCGCGATGCTCGCAGATGGGAGCGGGGCGTTGGAAGGAGCTCAACGTGGCAGGCCTGCGCGGCTGCGCGGGCCCCTTCTGCCCCCCTCACTTCTGGGGCGTCCGTGACTGGGCGAGGCAACAATCGGGAGGAAGCCCCCAAACGGGGTGGTGACCACACCGTGTGGTAAGTCGGTGGGGATGTGGGGTCACCGCACGGTTTTGGGATTCGAGTCCCTCTCCGAGGGCGTCTCGGGTGACAGGGGCCTTTGGGGTCTCAAGATCGTGCAGTGACGGACCGTGCGATGAGGTCTCTTGGGGTTCCGAGGTCACCGCACGGTCTATCACCACACGGTTTTGGGATCCTCCAGACAGCCGGAGGGAGGGGCTGAGCGCCATCCCCTGCCAGCACGCGGCTGCCCCGTCAAGTGCGTCCTGGCCTCGGGGGGGCCACGAGAGAGCGCGAACGTGCTCCCTCAAGGGAGTGAGTAGGTTTGGCATGCTGTTGCGGCCGCGGCTGCTTCGGCCTGGAGGGCCCCGCAGCGGCCGCACCCTCGCGGCCGCACCCGCGCCTGAGCGCTTCAAAGCGTCAAAGAGAAGAGGAGAGAACATAAGATGAAAGAAGAGGAGAGGAAAGAAGAGAAGAGAAGGAGGAGGAACAAGAGGAGGAGGATGAGGAGGAGGAGGAGGAGGACGTGGTGGATGGGGAGGGTGGGACGGACGAGGAGGAGGAGGAGGAGGAGCAGCAGAAGGAGGTGGAGGGAGGTGGAGGGGGGATAACAGGGTGGAGGAGGAGAAAGTGGAGGGAGAGTGGAGTGGAGCAACCCAGAAGCGGACGAGTCAATGCCCCCGCCGCCCTGGGCCAACCGGGAGGACCATCACGGCTGGAGTCGGCGCGACCTCGCATAGGCGGCTCACCGCGGCGAAACGCACGAAAGGCGACGACGCGCGCCACTAAAGGCAGCAGCGCCGCGAAGCGCGGCAGACGCGTGAAAAAGGCGAGAGACGTACCCGACACGCGCGCCAGGGGCGCCTCATGCGCCAGGAGGTAGTAGCTAAGCCAGTAAACCGCTCTACAAGCCCGTTTTGACATTCCGAGGCCTCAGATAACGACACGCCGCGCGTGCCGCCCCGATCAGCCACCCGAGGGGCACCACTCCCTCGGGGACAGCCTTCACGCACGCCACGGCGGGGGACCGTGACCGTCGGAAGAATGGACGGGGATCCTCCGATGAGCCCCCCCCCCGCATAGGGGTCCCACGACACCACCCTTGCCCCAGCGGAGTACTGGGAGGACCATGCAAGGGTGTCGCAGCGAAACGTGGCAGACCCACAACCCAGGCACGGAACACGGAAGGAAAAGCCGCGCACTGAAGCCCTGGGCTGCCCCCGCCCGCCACAAGGACGAGTCGGGCACAGCCCCGAGACCCCAGGCGCGACCCTTCCCCCGCGGCGCAGGCTGGGACGGCCTACGACTACCTGTTTTCTTTCCCCCAGGGTTCCGAAGGAGCACCTGGGGTGACGAACGGGAGGCTACCCGCCTGTTTTCCCGGGGAGGGATCCCAGTGGCACAGGTGCCGAAGGTGGAGGGAGAGGAGGAGGAGGCCGAGGAGGAGGAGGAGGAGGAGGAGGAGGAGGAGGAGAAGGAAGCCAGCCAGCCAGCTCCGCAGCGGTCTCCGGGCATCAAGGGAGCACCACTGGCGGCGCGCCACGACCCAGGGCTACACGCCCATCCCGCTCCTGCGCCTCCTCCTCCTCCTCCTGCTCCTCCACCTCCCAGTGCTGTTTGCTAATTGGCGAGCACGCGCTCTCGCCAAAGGCCGCCTTCGCTTCATTTGCCGACGGGATGCGCGGGCCATGGCCCTCGCGCGGCGATGAGACCGCTAGGCCTTCTGTGGTGGCGAGCGTATCTTCATAGAACTTCAAGGCAGGATCCGTTATTCTCGTCTTCCTCTTCGCGCTTGATCGCCCTCCTCCTCCTCCTCCTCCTCCCCCTCCTCCTCCTCTTTCTCCTCCTCACACCCGTCGCCTCAGGGGGCCTGTCCCATTCCCAGGCCCCCAACGCATTGGAGAAGTCAAAGTCAGATGTGGTTCGCCGCTTTCGGCCTCCCAGGGGCCCTCGCCAGGCCCCAGGACTGCCGAAGACGACCCGCAGGCCCTGCGGAAGGGGTCGGTAGTTTGCGAATCCCGTAATGAAACATTTGGCATCGGATGCCTGGGTTGCGATTTGTTTCCAGGGCCGGCCGGCGTTCTGCAGGGCTGCGCCAGTCGCCATGTGCCCCCGGACGGAGGGAAAGCCATCAGACAGCATGTGTCGTTCATCCCTTACGTACGACGCTGAGAGGAAGTTCGTCGGTGTTGCACCGTCGTCATGGTTAGGGCCAAGACGCAGGCAGGGCTCTTCCCCCTCCCTGTGTTCCCTTCGCGCCGGAGGAGGAGGAGGAGGCCAAGGCGGAGGGGGCGAAGGATGCCGAGCAGGTGGAGAACAGAGGGAAGAGACGGAGGGGAAGTCGAGGGAAACCGAGGGGGGACAGGGGCCCCAGAGGGGCAGCGCGACGAGGCTTCTCCCGTCTCTACACCCCCCCCACGTCGACCTGCGAGGATGACGACATGGACGGGGACGGCGTCCCAAACAGGGACGACGCTTTCCCGACGGACCCGACCGAGTGGCGCCTCCGTCCGCGGCCTCTCTCTCCCTCCCTCTCTCTCGTCTCTGCCCTTCTCTCTGCCCGCCCCCCCCCGCGAAAACGTGTGCGGAAGCGGAGTGGTGGGACCTCGGCGGCCGAGCGGCAGGGAGCAGGAGGCGAAAGGGGAAATGGGAGGCCGGCATCGGAGGACGAGGATGAGGATGTGGGGACGTTTTAAAAGCCTTTTTTTGGGGTTGGCCTAGTTTGGGGTATGGTTTGAAACTTTCGATGTTTCGTAAAACATTCGCCTGTAGGAGGACACGCCCGACGTAACTGTGGAAGACGAGGAGGAGGTGTAGTAGATCGTGCATCAGTCCAGATCCGCCTCCAACTGTTCGTCCCCCTTTCTCCGTCTCACTCTTTCCCGCCGCCTGCCCCTCCTGCCGCCTCTTCTCTCCTCGCCCTGCTCCTCTCCCCGCCGGCTCTCCTCGCCTCTCCTCGCCTCCCGTCCGCTCCCCCGCTCCCTCTCTTCCCGCCCTGCTCCCCGCTGCTTCTCCCCCCTCCCCCCCTGCCCTGTTCCTGCCTTCTGCCCCTCCAACCCCCCCCCCTGGGGCCGAGGCCTGCTTGCCCGAGCTTGTTTTTGGACTATTGCGGGCCGGCCCACCTTTCTCTTCCCCCAGTGCCGTGCTGGCGGCGCACGGAGCGGCTGTGAGCGCCTCGCTGCCACGGCTCAGCGGCGCTGCGTGATGGAAGCGGGTCCTGTTTCCTTGTCTCTCACATTCCCCCCACAGTGGTGCATTTTGGGATTCTGATTCGGCTTCAGAGGAACTGGGCTGGTCTGCCGCCCCGGCCGGCTCGTTCTCACCCAGTCGCCTCCCCGACGCTGCTCGTCGCCGCCAGTCGCCGCCTCGTCGCCGCTCGTCGCCGCCGCAACTGGGCTGGTCTGCCGCCCCGCCGTCACCGTCTCGTCGCCGCCGTCGTCGCTGCCACATTCATTCCTCTTCAAAAAATCAAGATCCACCCCCCGCCCCTGAACTTGCGGGTGCCCTTTTGGGATAGTGCAGTTTACACTCGATCCCGCCCCGTTCTTCAATTTAATTATGAGTCCACACCACTCCAGGGGGGTTCAGTATCACCCCCCCGTTTCATCCCTGTCAAGTAGTAGCATGCGCGCACAGTCGATCATCAAAAGCGGCGCCGCGCGCATGTCGACATTATTATGAAATTACAGGTACTGCCAAGGTCAGACAAGATCGTGGACCCCGGCAACATATAAGGCGACACTGGTTTTGTAAGTTTGGTTTTCTTGTCGGAATCTGCAAGCGCGCGTCTTTGCGACTTCTGATACAGACCATCGATCTTTTTAAATTTTCAAGACTTTTCATCACATGCCACCACACGTCGGTCGCGCGCGCATCACCGACACGTGGACACCACCATCGTCGTCGCCATGACCAGCATCGGCGCCGTCATTGGCCTTGCCGTCGTTACCGCAACCGTCGTCTGCAGCTTCGCCACACTTTCATCAGCGCGACTGCCGATGTTGACGTCGCCATGGTATCACGCCCGCCCGAGCCACCGATTCGCACTGACGCGCCCGCGCGTCAGCGCGGCCTGCGAGACGTGTTGGAAATGCCATCGTCGGCCAACATCGCCGCGCCCGCAAACGTCGCGCTGGCCGCACTGCGCTAGCGCGGCCGCAGCGATGCGCCAGCCAGCGCCGAGCAGTCATCGCAATCGACGCCGCATGGGTTTCGCAAACCAAGTTGCGGGTGGGTGGAATGATTGCGCGAGCAGTGGATTTGCACATTCACGAGTGGGAATTTGTAAATTCATGCACCCCGCAGATAATAGTTTGGATCAGCTGCCCCCGAAACAAAGATGGCGTCACCCCCGTGGGATAGGCAATTCAAACATGATTCTGCCTTTTTTCCGCGCACTTTGAATATGGATTCACATCGCCCCAGCTGAACCGACATCGACCTCCCCCCCATCCTTGTCAAATCAGATTTGCGCGCACCCGCTTATCAAAAATCATCAGTTCCAAGAGCCCCTTGCAAACGGCGGCGAAATCCCTACGCGCGCGGTGTCGCGCGCGCATGCCAGAACGTTTTGGCAATATCGTAGTATCGCAAAGACGCCGGGATCAACGTCCCCGAAACAAGCAATGAATTTCCAGGTTTTGCGCCACGTGCTGGACAAGCCCAAACAAAGTCTGCGCGCACTTTCTTTTGATTTTGTATTGGCATGAACACTTTTTGTTGCTGGAACGTGTCATGAAACGCGGCCCCACGGGCCCCTCGGGCGCGCATGTCGGAATCACTCGGACACCCTCGCCCGCGTGGTGGAAGGGGGGGCGGGGCGCGGCCCCTCTCAAATTACAACTTGTGGGCCACTCACGCCCGTGGGCCACGCGCGCGCGCGTCGCATCATTCCGCATCTTTCATTGCCGACACGTGGACACCATCGTCGTCACCAGCGTCATCCGGATTGGCCTTGCCGTCGTCGTGGTCGTTGTCACCGGCGTCGTTGTTATCATCACCGCGTTTTCCGCTGTCGACGTCGCCACGGTTCTTCGCCCAACCGAGTCACCGACCCGTTTTGAAATAAATGCCCGCGAGCCAGCGCAGCCTGCGAGACGCGGTGGGACCTCGGCCGCGAAGGTCGCGCCAGACTAGCTGGCCGCTCTGCGCCAGGACGATGTGTCAGCCAGCGCCAAGCAGTCAACGCAATTTCCGCTGCTTGGGTTTCGCAGACCAAGTTGCGGGCGGGTGGGGCGATGGCGCGAGCAGTCGAGTTGACAATTCCCTCGTGGGAATTTGATACTGTTTGCTCCCCACGGGGGTGTGCAAGTTGGGTGTCATTCTGCCCCAGTGTGCACTTTGAATGAGAATTCGCATTACTCAGGCTGAACCGACATCGGTCCTCCCCCTTCATCCTTGTCAAATGATACTTTGCGCGCACCCGTTTTTCAACAATCATCCGTGCCCAAAACAAGCACCAGGTGGCACAATCCCCGCGCGCATGTCGGAATTCAAACATGCCAGTTTTTCGCAAGGCCGCTGACATCGATGCCCCCGACACTTGCAACGAACAGCCAAGATTTGCAGCATGCTTTTGAACAGCGAAAACAAAGTCATCGCGCGCGTTCCTGCAACGTTTTGCTCCAGTCGTTCATGACATGCGACCAAACGGGTTTGTTGCGCGCGCATGTCGGAATCATTCGAACGCCCTCGCCCGCGTGCTGGGGGGGGGCGGGGCGCGACCCTTGTCAAATTGCAGCATGCGGGCCACTCGCGCCCGTCCTCCGAGAGCGCGCGTCGCAATCTTTTCCGCAGCCTTCATCGCCGACAGGTGGACACCATCGTCGTCATTGGCGTCAAATGGCCCTGTCGTCGTCGTCGTCGTCGTCGTCGTCGTCGTCGTCGTCACGTTGCCAAGCTAGTTGGCCGCTGTGCGCGCGAGCCTGCGCGCGTTAACGCGGCCGCGGCGATTCGCCAGCCGGCGGCAAGTTGTCACCTGTCGCCGCCGCGTGTGTTTTGCTGGACAATTTGTAGGAGGGTGGGACGATTGCGCCAGCAGTGGAGTTGTCAACACCAACGCCATGGCATTTATAAATCTTCGCATCCCGTGGATTTTCCTTTTGTGAAAAATATCTGACCCCCCCGATAGAAATTAGCCGCACACCCGTGGGGTGCGCAATGTAAATGCGATTCTGCCCCACCGTGCGTTGTACATGTGAATTGGTATCGCCCCATCATGCTTGCCAAATCACTTTACGAGCGCGCACTCGTTTATCAAACTTCCGCAGGTCCCAAGAATCACGCGCAGCAGGTGGCATCATCCCCACGTGTTCGCATGCCAGAATCATTCGGCAGCCCATCGTTTTCGCAAGGGCGTCAAGATCGAAACTCCGCCCCCGTCACAGCCTGCGAGGCCGTGCCGCCTCCCCCTCTCCCTCTCCATCCCCGTTGGTCCCAAGCGTATCTCTGAAGTTACATAGGTTTTTTTCGTCTTACCAAGTATACGCCCAGGGTTCCATCTAGGTTGTCTCTGTCGACCAGGTGCCATCTCGGTTCAACATTGTTTTCCCTGCTATTGTGCGAAGTCGTGCGCGCAGCGGTCCACAGCGAAACAAGAACCCTCGCGGCGCTCCGGCGCCGTGCGTCTGCTCCTTCGCGGGCCTGGCTCCTTTTCGGGCGCGCCCACGCCCCCGCAGACGCCCGCGCCGCCCGCTGCTGCACCGGCTGGTCGGAGCACCTGGCCTCCTTCTCCCAGGGTGTCCCTCCAAATTCACCTCCTCCCCCTCTTCCCCCGCCCTGCCCTCCTCCTTCCCCTCTTTCCTTCCCTCCCCCATCCCCCCGCCCCCTTGCCCCATCTTCCCCTCCTCTCCCGCCCCCTTCCCCACCGCCTTCTCCTCTCCCCCCGCCCTCATCCTTCCCCTCCTTCCCCCTCCTTCCCCCCCTCCTTCCCCTCTATCTGGCCTCGCCCAGGTGTCCCTCCTCCCCCTCTTCCCCCACCCTTCCCTCCTCTCGATGGTTGGTGCCCTCCTGGCCCGCTGCAGGGGCGACCTGGACGGGGACGGCATCGGCGACAACGCGGACAACGACCGCGACGGCGACGGGTTCTCCAACAACCAGGACCGATGGCCCGACGGATGGTCAGAGCCCCGAATCATCAGGGGTGACTCGGGTCAGGGTCAACTCGGGTTCGTTTTTGGGGAATCCGAACCCGAGTTACCCCGGGCCCGAGTTACCCCGGATAGTTAATTCGGGCGTCCAGAGCCCCGAATCATCAGGTGTAGCTCGTGTCATGGCCAACTCGTGTTCGTTTTCCGGGAATCCAGACCCGAGTTACCCCGGACCCGAGGTACCCCGGATAACTCGGGCGCCCAAGATGGACACCCAGTCCTGCTCGCACCGGCAACAGAACACGGCAGAAGGCTTTTGGCCACTCCCCGACCCAAGGTCCGTCAGAGGGACTAACAACGGCCCCGCGGGAAAGTTCCAGACCTCTGAGACTCCGTCTTGTATCAGAAACACATACAACAGACCTTAGACCACAACAAGCAGCAATGTGAGTCAGCGTGACCCCCTAAACAGTGACTTCTGGGAAGACGTGCGGTTCAATCAATGTGGTGCGATCTAGGCGGTGAAATACATGTGGTGCTACCTATGCGTTACAAAGGAAATCAAAGCAATGCAAATCAATGCAACGCAATGCAACGCACAGACACGCAAAGCAATGCAATGCATAAATGCAAAGTAATGCAACGCAACTAGAAAAGCTGATGACGAGATCTCGAAGGAGGCAGGGCGAGGGAGGTAGCACGCGGCAGTAGGAGGTCGGGGGATTGGGAAGGGGCAGGAGATGGTATAAGGGACGAGGAGGTAGGATGAGCCAGGGTGCAGCTCGAGGAGGCTGCTGGACGTAGGAGGACTTAGGACAGGCAGACAGAGGTAGGAAACCTACGAGGGCAACGGAGAGGGTAGTCGGACGGTAAAGAGTTCACACGTGAATTTCTTGGGCAGATCAGGTTCTGGGTGGCGCGTCGGCGAGCGGTGTTTTTTATTGCATAGTTCAGTGTGGTCTGTTTGTGGCTTCTACGGTTTTGGTGGTTGTTCTGAGGTATTATTCGTTGTTTGCCGGCTGGTCGTTGCCTTGTTGCGAATGGAGTGGCGGTGTACGTGTTCCCGCCACGCGGCTTTGTCACGTGGCGAATCGAATATAAGACTTGTTCTCACCTCCCAATCGTTGCCATGAGATGAGTAGAGCGGAGGCCTATTTCCTGTTCGCTCCCCATTTCATTCCACACTGGGAGTGGAGTGGGATAGTATTCATGTCTGCTCCTCGGGCCTTGCCGCGTAGTGCTGCCATGTGGCAAGAAGAGTGGAGTGGCTTGTGCTCCTGGCCCGCTTCGCTGCCATGGTGCCGAGTAGAGCGGAGTAATTCAGGAGGGGACAAAAACACACAGACACAATGAATCGTCGATTCCCCAGAAAATATGGGAAACTATGGGAAGTGGGGGGGAAAACAAAAACACAGAAAATATTAGAAAATATGGGGAATCCTGTCATTGGTGTGTATTTATTTGTGTGTCCCAGGGCCCCTTCAGCAATGTAACTTCGCCCCGCGTAGCGAGCACAGAGCAGCACTGTTGACTCCCCCCTCCGTGCGCTGCCCCGCGGCAGGGAGGTCGGAGCGATGCTTGTCTCGCCGCCTTGCCGTTGCCACGTGGCGCGAGCGCGCGGGCGGTCGTGCGGGCGCGCGCGCGGTGGCGGGCGCGCCGGCGTGCGGTCGGGCGCGCGGGCCCTCGCCACGTGGCGAGTACGGTGGGGCAGTAAGTGTTCTCCCTTCCGAGCGGGGAGAGTGGGGCAGTGCTCGTCTCGCCCCCCCGGCGTTGTCACGTGGCGGGTAGGGGGTGAAATACCATCTAGTCCGCCCTTCAGGCAATGCCACGTGGCGAGTCGTGGAGTGAGGTAGTTTGCGTTTCGTTTGCCATTGGCTTCACCTGACAATTCGAATGGAATAGAGGTGTGTTCACTCCTGCAGGCGTTGCCACGTCACGAGTAGAGTGGAGTAGCATATAATTTGCCCGCCAGGCGTTTGCCACGTGGCGAGTAAAGTGGAATAGTTTCAATTCTAGACGCTTCGCGTATCCCCACCAGCCCGTCCAGAAACGACGCCCAGGCGAGTAGAGGGTCGTCCTGAGGGGCTTTTCGGCGTCTTGGGTGCCTCGGGGGGGCCTCTTTGGGCCGTCTGGGATCCTCTTGGGGGCCTCCTGGGGGCCTCTTGGGGCCATCTTGGGGCCATCTTGGGGCCTCTTGGTGCCTCCTGGGCGCTTCTTGGGGCCATCTTGGAGGAAATCGATCAAAGAAGAGGGGAGCTTCAATTAGCGCTGCCCCCTCAGAAGGCCAAAATGGGGCCAAAACCTTAGTAAAGTCAATGATTTCGGCTTCAAAGAAGAGGGGAGCTTTAATTAGCGCTGCCCCCTCAGAAGGCCAAAATGGGGCCAAAACCTTAGTAAAATCAATGATTTTGGCTTCAAAGAAGAGGGGAGCCTTAATTTGCGTTGCCCCCTGAGAAGGCTAAAATGGGGCCCAAACCATAGTAAAATCAATGTTTTTGGCTTCCTCGCCGAGGCCGTTTTGGACGCTCTGACCGCTCCCCGCCCCTCCTGTCCAGGTCAGTGGGGAGGGGGTAGGGGGAGGGGTAAACCCCTCCCCGAAGGGGAAGAGGGAGGGGTGGAAGAGGAAACTCGTTAAACCACCGACGCCCAGAGGGCTGGTGGGATTTCCGCTCTGCAGGCGCTGCCACGTGCCGAGTAGAGGGACGAGGGAGAGCGAGGAGGGAGGGGTGGGAGGAGGCAGGAGGCAGGAGGAAGGAGGGAGGAAGGAGCAGGAGGAGGAGGACGGAGGACGGAGGAAGGAGGCAGGAGGGAGGGAGGAGGCAGGAGGCAGGGGGGAGGACGAGCGAGACGAGGTAGAAGGCAGGAGGAGCAGGGAGGAGGGAGAAGAAAGGAGGGAGGAGAGTAGGGTAGGAGGAGAGGTGGAGGATGAACGAGTGGGGGGAGGAGGGGGCGGAAGAATGAAGAGGAACGCAGTTCAGTGCAATGCAACGCAGTGTGCGGCTGCGCTAAAGGCAAACAGTAGTTGCCGTGTGTCAGGGTGTACAGCCTAAGGGGGGCAGGAGGACGAGGAGAAGGAGGAGAGGGAGGAAGAGGAGGAGGAGGAGGAGGAGGAGGAGGAGGAAGAGGAGGAGCAGGAGGAGGAGAAGGAGGAAAAGCCGTAGCCATTTGGGCTCAAGTTCGAAACGCTTCCCTGGCGCTTCGAGCTTGTTTGCTGCCGAGGGGACGGCTCAGAGCGCCCTTCTTGCGAGGACAGGCCTGGCGGCACAGGAGCTTCAGTGCCCGTGCCTTGCGGCTCACCACATCTCGCCCGTCCGATGACAGGCTGGAGCTCGGCGCGCAGCGGTAAGCAGTCGCCCGCGTGCTCGTGCTCTGCAGCGCGGCGAGTACAGAGGAGTGGAATGCGCTCCCCCTGCGAGCGCTTCCACGCGGCAAAGAGAGTGGAGCAGTATTTGTTTCGCTCCCGCGGCGTTGCCACGAGGCGTTCGCGAGCGGGCGAGCGCGCACGGAAAGGCAGCGGGCGCGCGGGCGGGCGAACGGGCGGGCGCGCGGACGGGCGGGCGTGCGGGCGGGCGCGCGGGCGGGCGGGCCAGCGGGAGGCGGCGGCCGTGGCGGCGTTGGCGTCGTCGCCATCACCATCATCATCATCGTCGTCATCATCATCAGCATCAGCATCATCATCAGCATCATCATCAGCATCATCAGCATCATCTTCATCATCCTTATCCTCATCTTCGTCATCAGTATCACCACCATCATCATCATCATCCTCATCATCATTGTCCTCGTCCTCATCCTCATGACCACCACCGCCATTATCACCAGCATCATCATCATCGCCATCGTCATCGTCGTCGTCGTTGTCGTTGTCGTCGTCGTCATTGTCGTTGTCATTGTCGTTGTCGTCGTCGTCCATAGTCCGTCGTTGTTGTCGTCGTCGTCGTCGCTCGTGTCGTCGTCATCGTCGTCGTCCGCGTTGGAGCCACGTGCCGAGGAGATGTTTGTGTTCGCCTCCGCGGCGTCGCCACGTCGAATGCAATAGAGTTGTTCGGTTTGACCACGTCGCGCCCAACATTTGGCCTGTCGTTGTCCCGTTGCGAATGGAGTGGCTCTCTCTATGTGTTCCCGCCGCGCGGCGTTGCCACGTGGCGAATTGAATGGAATAGTTGTGTGTTGCCCTCCAGACGCTGCCACGTAGCGAGTAGAGTGGGATTGTGTATGTCGGCCCGCGCGGCATTGCCACGTGATGAATTGAGTGTTTGTTTATATTTTTGTTCGCTCCCTACGTCGCTGCTACGTGGCGAGTGGAGTGGGGTATTTGTGTCGTTTACCTCTCAGGCCTTGCCACTTGGCGCTGCCACGCGGCGAGCAGAGAGGAATTGCACTGTTTGCTGCCCCGTTTCGTTGCCACGTGCCGAGTGGAGTGTAGTCATTTGGTATCGCCCCGCAGGCGCTGCCACGTGGTGAGCACAGTGGAGTAGTATGTGTTCCCCCTTCGAGCATTGCCACGTGGCAGGGAGAGTGGAGCAGTTTTTCTTTCGATCCCCCAGTGTTGTCACGTGGCGAGTCGAGTGAAACAAATGAGTTCCGCTTCGCAGGCGTTGCCACGTGGCGAGTCGTGAAGTGTAGTAGTTTGTGTTTTGCAGGGAGTGGGGAGGACACATAATCAGCGTGAGCAGCGAGGCAATGCGGACAAATGTTGCCCCCTTTTGCACAGTGGAGATGGGGAGAGGAGGGGAACAAGTGCAGGGGGGGAAGACTGATGGGGAGAAGGCGCAGGGTGAGGATGGCCAGGAGGAGAGATTCGAGTGCAAAGGCTCGGCCGAGCAACAAGGCAATGTGAAGGAGGAGGTTGGGCAAGCGGCGGATCAGGAGGAGGACGAGGGGGTCCTTTGCTGGGCGCGTCAGGGTCCCAGTCGATCAACGCTCGCGTGATCGAGCCACTGGAACATGGCCCGAGCGGGGTGCTGGGGGGAGAGGGGCCAAATCCTGCAACGACGCGGGGCAGGCCCACAACATATGGCCCCCAACGCTGCCCCACATTGGCACCGGGCACCCGCGCAACCTCTTGGACGGACCTCCCGCCCCTGCCTGGTCGCACCCGCCTGGTGTAGAGGGGGGGGGGGGCCAGGCACGGCTGCCAACCTCTACAGGTCGACCACTGGACCGGGGGAGGCAAACTACGTCTACAGGTAGAGCCAGTACTTGTTCACCCTCACTTGGTTCTACAGGTAGCAAGCATCCGCTTACCCCTCCAGTACGATCGGCTGCTTCTAAAGTTAGAGCAGGCACATGTTTACCGCCAGCCCCCCTCGTCTAAACACATACGAAACGCTGGGGATAAACGGGTGCAGCCCGTACCTGTTTACCCCCAGCGGGTACCTCAGAGCAATTCGGCTTCTACAGGTTCAGGCTCTACCTGGTTACCCGGATGCCGCGCCCACCTGCTTCCCCCAGGCGGGCGTGGTGGTTCAGTACTCCAAGACGCGCCCTACTTGTTGATTTGCCTGGTGCACCACGAGTCCCGTTCACTCACCCCAGGGACGCTTGCCCATGTAAGCAGATGATGCCCGCCCCCTTCCTTCAAGCGTCAATGACTTTCGCCAGGGACAAGGAGAAGAGGGTAGGCGAAAAGGAGTAGAGGACGAAGCTGGGGAGGAGGAGAGACGATGATCGGCGAAAAAGGAAGAGGGCCCAGGGCGGGAGAAAGGCGAAGACGCCACCGATCCCCTCGGAGGGTAATGCCACGAGCGTTGGGGCCTGATTTTCGCATGCCTGTTGGACCGCGTCTGCGCACGTCGCTGGCGCGTGCGCGTTGGTTCCTCCTCTAATTACAGCCCTCGTCCGCTGCCTCCGCCTGCCTTCCTTTCCAGCTGTTTCTTCCGTTTCCTTTTATCTAAGTTTCTCCATGTTGTGTTGGTTCGCACCCATTGCGGCCTGTGGCGGACGTCGAATGTTTTCGGGCTGCGGCGCGAACGAAGTCCAGACGACCCGCATTACGCAATTCAGACGCCGTGCTCGAGACGGGCCGTTTCAGATCAGACATGGGAGGATCGGAACGACCTCGAGGAGGACGGGGAGGAGCGAGGAGGAAAGGTAGAGGAACGAGGAGGAGGAAGCAAGTGGGGCGGACGGACGAGCGAGGAGGGGCGAGGCGGGCTGGCGTGAACAGGAGTGTTGGGCTTTGGGCCCCCTCGCATTTTCGAGTTTGGGTTCGGTCGGAGTTTTGGGTTTCGCCTGTGGGGAGACGGTGCTAGCTCTTAGCGGAAGAGGTTCGCTCTCGCCCCGCCGACCAAAAAGTGGGGAGACGGTCGGGTTTCGATTATTTTCGATCTTCAGATGTTGCTGTTGATTTGCGGGCTTCGCCTCGAAAAGTTTTCGGTTTTGCCTTGCTACCTCGTCGCCGCGGCTGGGCGCGGCTCAAAAGACCCTGGTCCGGCTCGACCCGAGGAGGGAGGGTCCAGGGGCCGATATTGAGCGGATTTGCTCCCCGTCCCTCTCTGACAGATTTCCTCTGAGCTTGTTCGGCTCATGCCCCCCACTTTCTCGAACGTTGTATCGGCACACGTGGAGGATGTGGTGAGGGTGCTGCTTTTTGTAACACTTCAAGCAGCCAATACCTAGCACTGGCGCGCCCGAGGGTAGCTCGCATGGTGTGCACAGCGGGAGAGTAGCAGGCAGTAGTCAGAGAGCAGCGCATGGGAGGAAGAAGCATCAACGCAGCGCGCACCCGAGCTGTAAGCATCTGGGCCCGTGAGCCGAGGAGGAGGAGGATGGATGGATGGATGGATGGATGGATGGACTCGGCATTGCGCTGTGAGTCTGAAGACACTCACCCCTCGAGCTCACGAAACGAGAGATCGCTCGGGGACACCTTTGAGCAGTCGTGCGATCTCCTCGGACCGAACGAGGTCAGGCGTGTGGGCGCGCCGTGCAGCTGTGATCACCTTTGATCAGAGCCGAGCAGGACAGGAAACAGGAAGACGCCCGCGGGCGGGGGGTGATACCCCTCTGGCCCCTGGGGGCCGAGCTCGACGGCGCGGAGAGCACCGAGCAGGCTCCCTGGACACCCAGAGGCCCCGAGAAGGAAACAAAAACAGGCTGAAGAAAAGAGCCGACGGCGCGCCCTAGAGACCCGGGGCGGCGAGAGCGACTAGAGGGGCCTGGTGCTACAGCGAAGTTGCTAGAGGGACTCACGTCGTCACGTAGTGTGCTGGTCGCCCATCTCTTTCCGTAGGATCCGCCACCCATGTCAGCCCTTCTGGCCGTAGTGGATCTGGCGGTTCTTGTCTAGCAGTTGCTGGGCCATCGATTCCAGGTGGCCCAGAGGGGCCGTCCCCATCTTCTGGCGGCCGCCCAGAACGTCGAGGCATGTCTCCCGAGGGCCGTCTGGGTTGACGCTCTTCAGTGTGATATGGTCCGCGCTAGCGAACTGCATCCTGGTGTACTGGTCGTTGTGGCGCGTGCGCAGCCTGAGGTGGAACAGAGCTCCGAGCCCGTCCCCATGCAAACGAACTGCTGGTAGAAGGTACGCGGGAGCACGTGCCCCTGCGGGGCCTCCTGCTCCACGGAGGTCGACGGGTACTTGAACTCGGCGTGAGCGATGTACAAATGTGGTGAGTTGGGGCTTCGCCTCGGGGACCTGCGCCGCCTCTGCGTACATCTTGCCCGCTTCCCGACCTGCGACGATCGAAGTAGCCGTGGGCGGGGTCACGATGCTGATCCATTCCGAGGCCGCGAGGTCCCTGAGCTGCTGGGCGTGCTGACGCGCCATCTTGGGGAGGAACGTGACCGCCTGCTGCAGGTCGCGCGACTTCAGGGCGCCCTCCAGACGAAGCACGATCGCGTCGTAGTCCCAGGTGTGCTGCGCGTGGGCCTCGAAGATGTCGCCCGCGTAGACAGAGCGGTGGTCTCGATCGTACAATGTGTTGAGGCGGCGTCCTGCTCCCATGGGGGCCTTGCACTTGCACGGGGCGTGGAGGAAGTCGATCCTGCGTGACCGTCCGTGCGCCCCGATGAAGGTGTCCCCGCTGACAAAGAAGGTGTCGTGGTCCGAGGGGAACCGTTGCCAAAGACGTCCAGAAAGGCCTTCCAGCTCCAGGAAGGGGCCCACGGCGCTGTCGACCTCGCTGCACAAGTCGTGCTCGAGCAGGGACGGGGAGCCGAGAAACGTCTCGTCCACGGAGTCGCCGAGCTGAGGTCCGCCCCGCTGAAGGGCGTGCGTCGACTGCCCACAGACTCCAGCGTGGTGCGTGCCCACGGGATCATAGCCTGGGTCACCTGGCGGTATGAGTTGCGGCTGGAGCAGGACTCGGATGGCACGGAAAGGTGCCGAACCATGAGGAGCACGTCCGAGGAGCGGCACGGTCGCGCCGCAGCGGCCCGAGAGCGCCGCGGGCGGAGGGTAGATCCGACGTAGGTGTGCCTGCGGAAACCGCTGATGTAGGAAGATGCTCCCCCCGCAACTCTTGTTGGTCCAGCCGATGGAGAACTCCCAGTGGTAGTCGTGCTGAAAGAGGCTGTGGCGGCCGTCCAGTGTCGGGCGGCGGCTCGTCCCAGGGAAGAGGATCGCGCCCATGTAGTGCTCGCAGGTGATCTCCTGCGCGCGGGTGCTGCCCGTCAGGTAGAGAGGGTTGTACACGTAGAGCCTGGTGTGCTGAGCAGGTTGAGGCTCTCGCTCCTGAGTGCGTCCAGGGGCGCGGCAAGCGCCTGTCGACATGTAGGCGGCCGCCCGCGGCGAGAAGCCGACGGCCGCGAGCAAGAGGAGAGCCTCCATCATGGGCCTCTTGGGCCCCGCGGGCGCGTGGGCATCGCGCGCTGCTCCCCTGGCGGGCGATGGAACAGGGTGGGAGGGCCGCGTGTCCCTCGACCTTCAGCCGTGGCGGCGGCTGGAGGAGGAGAAGGAGGAGGAGGAGGAGGAGGAGGAGGACGTTGGAGCGGATCCCCGCTGATCCCCCCCCTTGCCGACCGACTCGTTCGTGCGTTCCTCGCCCCCCCCCTCCCGCCAGGACGCCCACCCGGACGACCCCGCCAGGTTCCTGCCCGACGACGACGACACCTTCAAGGTCTTCGGTGGCGCTAAGAGCGGCCCCGCGTCCTCGCCCGAGGAGCGCCTGGCGGCCGCGCGCGCCCGCGCCCGCGGCGGCGGCGGCGATGGCCACCGCCCGAAGGCGGCGGCGGAGGCGTGACCCAGAAGGCCCCAAGAGGCAACGACGAGATCCCCGAAAGGCTCCCAGAAGGCCCCCAAGCCTGCTCCTCCTCCTCGTCCTCGGGCACCTCCTCTCCCTCGTTCTCCTCCTCCTCCTCCTCCTCCTCCTCCTCCTCCTCGTCCTCGTCCTCGTCCTCATCCTCCTCGTTCTCCGCCTCCTCCTCCTCCTCGTTCTCCGCCTCAACCTCATCCTCCTCCGTCTCCTGCTTCCTCTCCGCCCTGGACTGCGTTTCATTTTGTTCGGCGGCGTCTCTCGGTCCCGAGTTGCAGGCGGGCTACGCTGGGGCACGCGGCTAAATTGATTGCGGCGCAGTCGGAGGGGCAACGGTCGGACTGGGTCAGGACGAGGATAAATCCGTTCCAGAGCGTTCAAGAACGCTCTCAGAGCGTTCCAGAACCCTATGAGAAGGCCGCGGCGTCCGAGACATCCTCCAGAGCCGTCGGATTCCAGCGTTTCATGGTAAATCCTCACCCGGATTCATCCTCGTCCTGGCCCCCTGCTCAAAAGGAGACTGCGCGCGGCGCAGGGGCGCCTTTGCCGGCCAGGACTCCAGCATACACGGGGGCGTGACTAGAGGGCCGCCCGCGCGGCCGCCCGCGAGGCGAGGCTCCTGTGCAGCAGGGAGGGTGTCGCCGCCGTGCGCGTTGGTCGCTGCTGGGGGTGATGGCAGGGGCTGCGCCGGCTGGGGCCCGCAGATCCAGTCGCGCTCCTCGAGGGAACGCTAACATGGATTTCCTTGGCATTGCTCGGACGTGGGCATCGGTTCTCGAGGCGATCCTGCGAAAGATGAGCGCGCGAACATCGAGAAATGCACTGGGAATGGACGTCCGAGCGATGGGAAGATCGAGGCGCGTAGATTGGCGATGGGTCCTGATTCAACACAGAATAGGCACGCGCAGTCACCAAAGCAGGCGACACTGGCCTCACGTGTCGGGGTTACCCTTCCCGATCCCTGGATCTGGCGCTCGAGTACCGCATTCACGGATCACTCATCCATATCAGCATGTCCGTGCCATTTTGGCTCAGGGTGCCGGTGCCCGAGCGCAGGAGTGGCCGAGGTGGACGAGCCAGAGATGGAGGAGGCCACGAATGACGATGCCGAGGAGCACGAGAAGGAGGAGCCAACGGAGAAGGCGGAGCCAACTGATGAGTTCGGCTTCAATGCGGTCCACAAGATGGCGGAGTAGGAGAAGGAGTCGGACCACAATTAGGAGGGCAAGCTCTTCATTTCACGCGGCAAAGAGAGGATGGTCGGTCTCGAGAGTTGCGGCTGGCACATACGAGGCGTATCGTATTGAAGTGGGACGATGAGGATCTGCAGCCAGAGACTTTGACCACGGAGGATTTGGGCACATCTTTCGAGAACGAGGCGGCATTCACACTGACACTGGAGGAGGATCAGAGACCTCCCGACTGGTTCCAACATACATTCGTGGATTTTGAAGACCGGCGGCTCATGAAGGCATGTTTGTTCTGCTGTCCTGCCATTGTAACGCACCACGAAGGTGCGCCAGAGGCGATGGCGCAAAATATGTGGAATGTTGTGGAAGACGCCGTGGAAAAGCTCGACGACGCAATCGATGCCGTTGAGGGCAAAGCTAAGGAGGTAGTGGAGGACGTCGTCGAGCTGGATGATAAGTTCAATCAGGTCTCAAACAACACTTTGGACGACGTTGCACATGAGGCTGGAACAATGGTAGTCGAAGACGCTGCGACCTTCGTTCCTTCTTTCAAGCACCACGCCGCAGGACCTCACCAGGGCGGCGTCAGAAGCCTGCTCGAACACGATCCTGAGTTTCCGCTCAAATTCACGATCTCTGCGAGGACGTCATTGAATTCTTCGTTGAACGGACCAGCGGAATTGTGAATTGTCTCTACAAGGTCGTCAGCTGGATTCTCCAGACATGTAAGGAGGGAATTAAGTTCGCCGTGGACATGCTGAAGCAAGTCATTCCCGATTGTTGCGAGGCTGCCTGCATTGGTTGCATGGGCCTCACGGCGAAACTCGCGGAATGGATGGCGAAGGTGATAACCAATATCATCAATATGGTCGAGGATTGTATCAAAGCCGGGCTGTTCGCCGTCGGCGTTCCCGATTAGATCTGCGACAAGGTCGACTTCAACGGTTTGTGTTGTGTTTGTTACTTCGCTTGTGTCAGGTATGTGTATTCTTACCATCCTTGGGGCAAGCAAGAAGCCACTGCAAACGGAAGTTCTGAAGTTCTTCTTAGTCATGTTTTTTGTGGGCTGTTTCTGCGTGGCGGTTGTCGTTGGCCAATGTTTCTGGTTTGACGCAGCGCTTCCTCGCAGGTAGCCTGACCAGTTGCAGCGCTTTTCCCGCGGCGATCCCCTTCATTTGCCTTCGCGAGGCCGAGTGGCGATCCCGTTTGCCACGACGCACTCGAGCGTTGATCAGGGAGGTCGCATTTGTAAAATCGTGGTCGCTGCGGCATTGCAGCATTATGTTTACGTCGTCGCGTAACGCACTCTTTGCTTGTTAGTTGCGTGTGTCTTGCATGGGCGGATTGCTCCCGCGCGGCGATGCTTCGCGCGGCGTGATCGCGCCGACTTTGGGCGACGATGCGCTCGTTCATGCGGGCAGGGCGCCTCCGCGTGGCGAGGCCTCCTGTAGCGTTTAGCGCGCAGCCAAGTGTGTTCCTTCTGGGCTCGCGGCCCCCCCGCCCCCCATTTCCCTTCTTCGCGGCGCGCCAAAACATGATGATGTTGTTCCTTTTGTTTTGTCCAGCGCTTGCGTTTGCCATTTTTTATCTGGGGGGCGGTGGTCATTTGTGGTTCGCTTGCCTCTCGCCCAGCCTCTTTCCTTTGCCCTCCCCTTCCCTCCTCTCGCATTGTGTTTCCGTTGTTGCTACCTCATCGCGCGCATCTCAATGTGGAGAGCCCGGTCAGCTCGTGGAGGGCGTGTTTCTGTTGACAGTTATGTCGTCTTGTTCGCGGCAAGTCCCGCGCGCTCTGCGATTGCGCATTTTTCGGCGCGGCAAGTTTGAGAGCACAGCCAAGGAGGCCGTGCCGCGCGACAGACCGTCGCCCATGCCCGTGCAATGGACGCAACATGTGACACGCTTATCCGCGTCGTTTCGGGGCGTACCTCTTTGTTTTCGTCGTCGCCCCCCCCTCCTCCGTCCCCCGTTGTGAGTCCCCCGTGCTTTCCTGCCTCGCTCTGCGTCCGTTGTTCTTCCTTTTCGTGGGGTCCAAGCAGCGCGTCAAGAAGCAAAAGTAGGTTTGGATCGTCTGCTGAGTGTCCGTTATGGTCTTGCCAACAGGGCCATTCTCAGCGGTTGTTCCAGCTTCCAGGATGCCGACATCACGAAGATGAACGCAGGTACCCAGGCGAGCGCAGTGGTCGCCCATGGCCAGGACGTCGATTCGACCCTTGAGACCATGGTGGCTGATGCGGTTGGTGCCGACACCGACTTCTTTGAGGTTGCCATACGCAGATCCTGCTCGAAGCCAGGGACGCCGGCTGAGCTGGTTGGGCAGTTACCTTACTTGATCCTCGATCGGATGTGGCGTTGACGTTGAGGAGTGTGTTCGCAACTGCGCCGTCGACGCTGCCCCAGACATCGGCGACGGCGGAATGCTTCGCCTGCGCGTGCACAGGGCGGGTGGTTGATCGCAGGCGCTGGGCTTATGCAGATTTCATGGGCATTGCGAAGGCGGCGATATCCCCTCACGCCAAGCAGCTGGCGGTCACACAGGTCGGGTGTGGGGGGGGGGGACTGCGCCCTGTTGGGTGCGGCCACGCGAAGGCTGACTGATGCCAACGTGGTGGCTGACCACTTTGCCAAGGAAGGTGCCAGGATGCATGATGTGAGTACTGACGAGCTCGCAGATCGGATTCAGCAGGCTGAAGGTCGGTGCCTCAATATCGCGGAGCTGACCCTGGCACTGCCCCTTTTCCTTTTACGCTCAGGAGGCTGAGAGATGGACCAGATCGTCGACGGGCTACAAGAGGGTGCGCAGCACGAGGACGCAAGGTTGGCATTTGTGGATTTAGACACGCGTTGGGCCTAAGTGTTCTCAGTGTTTGCAGCTCCGCGGGCAAGATGCTCAAGACGTTATGACTGAATGTCGTGGCGCGCCCACATTATTAGTCGACTTCCTGCGAGATCTTCTTGGACACCGACTGTTAGCGGTCAGTCAACAAAAAAGGATATTTGACGTCGGCAATTTGCGGCGCCGTCTTTGCCTGCGCGGGTTGTGGCGCGTGGGCCAACAAGTTCAGATCGGCACGTCCAACCAACCACAAACGGTGCTGAGGCATTGTGCAACTTACGGCATGGAGGTGGACCTCATCGGAAGCTTGTCACCTGCATCGACGCCGTGGTGCAGATCAGCAGTGTTGCCAAGGTTTTGGTTTCGGCAGTCACGGCGAAGACTTCGGTGGCGCGCTCCTGCCTTGATGGCCCATCTGATTTCGAGACCAGAATGGCCGCGCTGCATGGGCGCATCAAGCAGAAGGAGAAGGCAAAGGTGCAGGAGCGAAACGAGAAGAACGCGCTTCTTGGACGGAGTTCGGCTGCTTCGATTGCGGATCGCACGTGGTCGTCTCCGTCGCGGCGGGCGACGGTGCTCGGCCAAGGCATGGGGGCCGACGCGACGGGGGGCGCAAGTGGTGTTCTTCGGCGAAACAAACAGGCAGGGACACCCCCGTCGCTGGCGGAAAAAGCGCGGCCGCCGAGGCCATGCTGATGGAGACCAGGCTACGGCGGCTCCGGATTCGGCTTCGGCGCGCAGGAATGCTGAGGAGCAAGACGAAGAGTTGGTTTCGGAATCGGCGTGCCAGCGCGAATCTGGAACCACTCTGTGTGCCAGCCGAGAAAGAGAGAGGAGATGCCGATCGCGGCCAGGTCGGCGCGGCTCCCCGTTCGACTTCGGCGGGGCAGCAGCGCCGAGGAGAAGGGAGCTCGGGACTGGGGGCATCCCGACGACAGCTTCGGAGGTGCGCAGAGGGAGGGACTGCCCCCCATGCCTGTGCCGCTGGGCATCCTCTGCGCACGATCAGGTCGCGGACCTGGCCGCTGGCGAGCTCACCGAGATGATGACTTGAATCTGGCGCTTTGGGATGGCATTCGGCGGACCAGCTGGACGCGGTGGTGGACTTCGACCGACCTGGCCTCTGCTGCGGCACATCGACTTTTTGCTGCTGGGCGACTTCGAGGCGCTGCAGCAGCTGCTCGCGGTGTTCCTGAGCGGGGCCCGCGGCTCGTGCGTCATGATGAGGGCAGGACCACCGCCTCGGCGTTGCCCTCTCTCTCTCTCTCTCTCTCTCTCTCTCTCTCTCTCTCTCTCTTTATATATATATATATCTCTCTCTCTCTCCCTCTCTCTCTCTCTCTTGCCTTTCTTGGGCCACTCACGGGGTTGCTCTTGGGCCGACCTGTTGGGCTTCCTTGGGGGCCGATTGGGGCATTATTGGGCCGTCTTGGGGATCTGCGGGACACTTCGGGGCCATCGTGGGCCGTCGTGAGTTCCCCGATGGAGTCAGCTGGTGCCGTCTGTGGTCGTGCACGCCTCCATGGCGGTTTCTTGCGATTGCCTGCGGATTGGCGGATGCAGTGCAGATACGGCGGCGGCGGCGGCATCAGAGTCGCCTTCATTCTTTCGGCAAAGCAGTTGCATCGCGTTGCCAAGCGGGATGGCTGGTTGTGGGCCTCTGACGGCCACGGCAGGACGTTTGAATTTTGGGCTCCCCCCGCTCCAAGAAAACATGGTGGACGCAAGGAACCTCTGGGTTCCTTAATCAATCCTCCAGGGTGCTTCGATGTTCCCAAAGCACGGGACATTGGTCCATCCATTAAATTTAGTAAGGAAGTCCCGGGGCCCCTATTCAGGTCCTCATTTGGGTTCCCGGTGGCCCCACCATTGAAGGTCGTTATATTTTGGTGTTCGACGTTCGCAGGTCCCACAGGGCACAAATATTTCGCAGGCCTCACAGGTCCCACAGTTCCCACCAGTCCCACAGGTCTCGCAGGTCGCGCAGGTCCAACAGTCCCCACAGGTCCTGTTCGTTGTCGGGTTAGCGCTTCCTTTCGCTTGGCACTGGTTTCGTCTTGACCGTTCGTTTGTAATGTCGGAGTTCGTTTCGCTGTTTGATGTAAGCGCCACTTCGTTTTGAACGCCGTGGTGGTCGGTCCTTACTTCTCGGGCGAGGGGCAAGAAGCCCCCTCTGGAGAATGTCTTTCCGGGGTCCGACGATGACCTGGGTTATCGGGCCCGCCTGCCCTCCGCCCGTCGCCCTGCAGGACAACTTGACTGTGTCGGCCGCGCAGGTCCAGAACAAGGGTGCGCAGTACTCGTGCGCGCTGGCATACGTGGGGCTGCTCTATGCGAGAAGGGGCGGTTATCGGCTGGCGGTTCCTTACACAAGCACCCGCACACGCACACACACACACTCACACTCACACTCACACTCACACTCACACTCACACACACACGCACACACACACACACACGCACAGACAAACACACACAGACACAGACACACGCACACGCGCACACGCGCACACGCGCACACGCGCACACGCGCACACGCGCACACGCACACGCGCGCACATGCTCACACGCGCACACGCGCACGCGCGCACACGCGCACGCGCACACGCGCTCGCACACGCACCCGCACACGCGCGCACCCACGCGGATAATCCAGCTGGTCGCCGAGCAAAAAAAAACGTTCCTATTTCATTACAGGGCTGCCCCCCTTCCTTCCGGCGCCCTTTCTATCCGGGGAGGAGGCGGGCGACAAGGAAGGTTGGGAAAGGAAGGGCGTCTACGAGAATGTTTCATACAGGCATGGAGTTGGTTTCGGTCTCACCACCGGGCACTCTCCTCCGCAAGATAGTCGCATCCATGGCAGGTAACTGATTCGCTAACGCCCCCCCCCCACTTCCGTCCGCTGCTCGCCGCTCTCCACCTGTCAGCGTCCCTCGTGCGGTAAGTTTTCAAAGGAACCCACTCACAGTACAGGCAAGTTTTTTCGGATACGCATGATAGCATGATTGAACAGGGACTCCAAGACATGTTGCTCGGATTCTCCGACTCCTCCTCCTCCCCCTTTCCTTCATCTTCCTCCTCCTCTTCCTCTTCACCTTCAACCCCCTCCCCCATTCCTCCTCTTCACATTATCCTCATCATCATCATAATCATCATCAGCAGCAGCAGCTGCACCATCAGCGTCAGCAACAACAACATCATCATCATCATCATCATCATCATCATCAGAATCATCATCATCGTCATCATCAGCATCAGCATCCTAATCACCATCATCATCATCATTACCATCATCTCCGACATCAGCATCAGCATCATCACTTATCACCACCATCATCATCGCCATCAGCATCATCACCACCGCCACCACCACCATCATCCGCATCATCAGCATCGTCATCATCATCATCAGCATCAGCAGCAGCAGCATTCTCATCATCCTCACCATTCCGATCCGCATCATCATCAGCAGCATCAGCATCAACAACTTCAGCACCAGCATCATCATCGTCATCATCATCAACATCACCATCATCAACACCATCATCAGCATAACCATCATCATCGGCACCATCCTCAGCATCATCATTACCATACGTATAATTACTAGTACCATCGCCATCATCATCACCACCATCATCATCATCATCAGCAGCAGCATCATCATCATTCGTCAGCATCATCATTATCCTCATCATCCCATCATCGACATCATCCTCATCAGCATCATCATCATCAGCATCATCATCATCAGCATCATCATCATCCCCCTCCCTCGTCATCGTCAACGCTGTTCTCCTCGCCCTCGTCCTTGTCTTCCTCCTCCCCCGCCTCCTGACCCTGATATCTCTCCTCCTCCTCCTCCTCCCCCTCCTCCTCCTCCTCCTCCTCCTCCTCCTCCTCCTCCTCCTCCTCCTCCTCCTCTCCTCCTCCTCCTCCTCCTCCTCCTCCTCCTCCTCCTCCTCCTCCTCCTCCTCCCCCTCGTTGTGCGCGCTCTCCCGGCGGCCAGGAGATTGGCCCAGACTCAGACGGGGATGGCGTCCTCGACCGCCTGGACACGCCGCGCCGCCCACGCACCCCACCCCGATCACTGGTGCGTCGAGGTCGAAGAGGAGCAAGGGAGGAGGACGTAGGATGGAGCGGGACGGAGGTGGGGGAGGAGGGACGAGGACGGGGGGAGGGAGGAGGTGGAGGAGGAGGAGGAGGAGACGGAGGGGGCTGGAGGAGAAGACGGAGAAGGCAGGAGGAGGACGGAGGAGGAGGAGGAGGAGGAGGAGGAGGCCCAGTATAAACCCAAGAGTCACCAACGATGTTGGAGTAAACCCTCCCTCCAAGCTCCCTCTTCATAGGCCCCATACAACGGTCCATTTCCATTGATGGAACTGTCTCGTTGGAAGACACCCGTTTGAAGACCCTGAAGCATGCCAAAACATGGTTCTCGGGATTCTAACGCCATGGATCAACCTGATTGTTGCCCCTTGACGGTCCTGAATCGTGCCAGAACGCCATTCCGAGGACGTCAACACAGAGAATTAACTTAATTGTTGCAGCCGCATGATCCTGAATCCTTCCAAACACCATTTCTGGTACGCTGATCAGGGGAATTCGTGAAACTATTGCAAAGTTTTGAAACGAATGTGCGCCGCGCTAAGGCGAGAGCCACATTTTGAAATCCACCCGCCCTCCATCTGTGAAACTGTTGTCAACCTTTAAGCTTCAGAGTCATAAGCGGTGAGGAAGTCTCAGGCGAATCGCCCAGCCCGCCCTAAAAATTGGCCTCGGGGTGCGACAGGGAGAAGTTAGCTATGAGGAAAAGAAATGGAGGAGGAGGAGGAGGAGGAGGAGGAGGAGGAGGAGGCGGCGGAAGAGGAGGACGAGGAGGGGGAGGAGGGGCGCTTTCGCAGCGTGTTCGGGCGGCCACCGATGCGGCGGCCGCCGACGCGCGCGCTCCCCGCGCGCGCTCGGCGGCGGGCGCCCGTCCCGCGCCCCACGGAGCCGGCCTCCTCGGCCTGCGGGTCCTCCGCGGGCGCAGGCGCGCGCCCTGGGACTCCCCCCTCTCCTCTGGCAGCCGCCGTCCCACCCCTCCCATACCCCAGCGCGCGCGCAGCAGGGAGGACGAGGGGGCGCGCGGGGGGGGGCGACCACGCCGCGGGCAGTCTGGAGGCTGGGGGAGGGGAGAGGGAGGGCGCGGGAGGGCCGCCCTTCTGCGGCGCTGCTGGAGCGGGGGCTCGAGGAGGCGCGACGGAGCAGGACGGGGGAGGAGGGCCTGGATAGGGAGGAGGAGGAGGAGGAGGAGGAGGAGGAGGAGGAGGAGGAGGAGGAGGAGGAGGAGGAGGAGGAGGGGGCGGAGGAGTGCCACAGCCCGCACCGTGCCTGTCTTTTGGTCCACCGCTGGCCACCGCGGCCTCGCCGGCGCGGCGCTGCTGGACGACAGCCTCCGCACACCCACTGCTGTGGCCCCGCCCACGGCAGCGCCCACCCGGCAGCGCACGGCCGCCCCGGCCGCGCCTAGCCCGTGATCGCGGACCGGCCCGAGACGGGGGCAGTGCTCAGCAGTTCTGCCGCGAGGCCCCCTCGGCCGTGACGCCGATCGCGCCCTCGACGGCTCCCTGAGGCGCTGCCCGGCTCACCCACGCCTGTGGCGGCCGCCCCCGCGCACGGAGCCGCAGCGCACGGGCCCCCGCGCGCGTCCGCGGCGGAGGCCGCCCCCCACGCCAGGCCGCCGCCTACGGGATAGGGTCCCGCGGGGCACCTCCGCGGCTCGGGGGAGAGAGCCAGGACGACGACGAGGAGCTGTGCGCCCGGAGTTCGACGAATGCCCGCGCACGCCGGAGCGAACTCTGCCCGTGCCACCCAGAGCCTGCAGCTCGAGCAGCCTTTGGGCAGCAAGCGCTCCACTCGGGCGCGTTTGCATGCGCCGTCGTGGACCAAAGGGCTGAATGGGGGAAGAAGGATGAGGAGGATGTCACAGGCAACGCGGAGGAGATGGAGGAGGAGGAGGAGGGCGAGGAGGAGGAGGATGCACAATGGCAGCACCCGCAGGGACCTCATGCCATCAAGAACCGGGAACCAGGAGGATGCATGTCTGGCTCCCCGAACAAGGGAGGCTGGAGTGAGATGAGCGATGAGGAGAACAAGGACCCGTGCTCTGCAGACCCAGATCTGCGACTGTCTTGTTTGTGTTCAGTCCACAGGCCCCAGGGGGGTTCGACCCCTTCTTCTGGGGATCGAGCTGCCGCCCTAAATCCACTTCTGACGACCCAAGGCCAGGAAGGAGGCCCGCGGGAGGCCAGCAGCTGCTCCAGTCCACCCGAAGTTGTGGGGAGGCGCCGTGGGCCCGAGAGGCCCCCGCGACCGTCCTCAAAAGGTTGGGGGAGGGGGCTCGGCAAGAGACCTCGCCTCTGCTGTACCGTGAACCCGTATGATGAGGATGCGCGGTAAGGATGCGTTGGCCATGGGAGGGCCCTGTCGACATTCTGCGAGCGGGGCGCGGCCAGCGGATGCGGCCAAGGATGGGCCGACGGGGAAGGATGCACGGATGGACGGGAAGGGGGAAGGAGAAAGGAGGAGGGGGAGGGCCGGGGAGGGTTGGGAGGAAGAGGAGGAGGAGGAGGAGGAGGAGGAGGAGGAGGAGGAGGAGGAGGAGGATGGGGAGGTAGTGGAGAAGGAGGAGGGGGAGCGGAAGGAGGAGGATGAGTAAGAGGAGGAAGAGGAGGGGAGCTTTGGAAAGTCGCTCACCCTTGCTCTACTCCGCGGGTTCACTGTAGTGTGCGCGCGAGGCCGCGGGGCTCGCCTCCCACCCTCCCCCCTCCAGCCCCGCGCGCAGCCACCCCGCTGGAAGCCTCGGGCGGACGGCAGCGTGGGGGAGGGGACCGAGGGGATCGAAGGTTGCAGGAGGGTGGCAGGAGGGGATCTCGAGGGGATCGAGAGGATCGAGGGTTGCAGGAGGGTGGCAGGAGGGGATCTCGAGGGGACCGAGGGGATCGAGGGTTGCAGGAGGGTGGCAGGAGGGGATCTTGAAGGGATCGAGGGGATCGAAGGTTGCAGGAGGGTGGCAGGAGGGGATCTCGAGGGGATCGAGGGGATCGAGGGTTGCAGGAGGGTGGCAGGAGGGGATCTCGAGGGGATCGAGGGCTGCAGGAGGGGATCTCGAGGGGATCGAGGGTTGCAGGAGGGTGGCATGAGGGGATCGAAGGTTGCAGGAGGGGATCGAGGGGATCGAGGGTTGCAGCAGACCGCGAGGGGACCGAAGGTTGCAGGAGCATGGCCCGGAGGGGCCCGAATGGCCCTCGAGCTGCCACCGCGGTCCCGCAGGGTGCACGGTGGAGACCGATGCCAAGAGACCCCTCTTCTGGCCTCCAGGGTGTCCGTGGTTTCTTGGATTTCGCGGGCTTTGCTGCAGTGGAGGCCCATGCCAAGAAACACCCTGCTTGCCTCCAGGGTGCCCAAGGTTTCTCGGGTTTCGAGGGCTTTGCTATGTCAAGCGCGACGTTCCCACACCAGATCCATGGACGTCCTGGGGTTCCAGGGTTGGGTTTCTTGTGGAAGGATCCTTTGGTCGAGCTCCCACTGCACAGTCAACCCGCACAGCGAGGATGAGCGACTTTCCGAGGTTACCCTTGCATCCTTGCCCCTTCGGCCCATCCTTGGCCAGTTGGCCAGCCCCGTTCGAAACACGCCAACATGGCCTCCAGGGCCCTTGCATCCTGACCGCGCTTTCGTATTACAGGGGCTGACCGTATTGCCCTCCCGCCGACGAACACCCGAAAACCCGGGGAGACTTCGTCGGCCGAGGTCCCCGGGGGGGGGGGGTGGTCCCGCGAGCGAGACCCCGGCGGCCCGGCCGCAGGACGCCGCGCCCCACGACCCGAACTGCTGGATGGAGCCGTGCGACTCGGACGGCGACGGCGTCCCCGACGGCGAGGACCCCTCCTCCCCCTCCTCCTCCTCCCCTCCTCCTCCCCCTCCTCCTCCCCCTCCTCCTACTCCTCCTCCTCCTCCTCCTCCTCCTCCTGGAGCCGGCCGGACGGCGATGGCGTCCCCGACGGCGAGGACGCCTCGGATCTGGAGCTAAGTCGGGCCTGTCCCTCTGCAGGAGGAGTATTCGAAAGTAGTCAAAATATCGTATGGGGGCGATATTTTTGGCATGTTTGAGCATGTTTGGAACATCTTGCGGGTATTTTTCATTTTTGGTCCAAAATCTGCCTGTAGGGGGACATGCCCGACCTAAGCCTGGAGCCGGCCAGGGGGGCCGAGGTGGTCCAGCACGGGTCGGGGCCAGCGTAGAGGGGGTGGGGACAGGGCCCCCCCTCGTTGCCACGACTGGGCGCTGTTTCCCTTTGGCCCTAGTGGGCCCCGTGTGTGTGTTCCCTCTCGTCTCTTTGTATCTTCTCCGTAGCCGTTAGGCTTCGCGCGAGTGAGCATGTTGCTGGTCGCAGTTCCTTGGTATCAGAAAGTGCCCCCTTTTCTCCTCGTTATCTTTGGGCTTCCAGCGCCATACGTCCTACGGTCTGCGACAGTGGTAAGCGGAGCTATGCCCGAGAGACCGATGGAGCCAGAAGGGGATCGAGGCATCGAGGACCTCGACGACCAGCGCAGTCCCACAGAGCGCAACACCACCGACCCTCCAGAAGAACAGTCGCCATCAGCAGACACTCCAGGATCGTGGGAATGGGTTCCGACAAGCTGGAAAGACTGGTGGCAGAGCTCTCAGGGCTGGAAAGGAGGTTGGGACGACACAGGAGGTGACAGTCCTTGGAGCAGGTGGAAAGGAGGTTGGGATGACGAATACGGAGACAGTTCTGGGAGCAGGAGTTGGTCTGCGCCAAATCGTGACTTCGGCTCTCCTCCACCGTGGCTGGGAATAGATAGTCTGGACACCTGGAGACACAACGTTCTCGCGTGGACCAAAAGAACGGGATTTAGAGCCGAAACCCAGGCGAGCCGAATCCTAGAAGGACTTCCTGTGGATCTGCAGACAAAATTTCGGGCTATTCGAGCCTCGTTAGATGAAGAAGACGGAGTCCTGAAGCTGCTCAGCCACCTGGGTCTCCTCTGCGGCGAACGTCCAGGGGATCGCGAGAGACAAGCCCAGAATACAGCTCTCTTCAATTACATGCTGAGGACAGGAGAGAGTCTGACCGAGTATGTTTTGAGACGAGATGCGGAAGTCGGCGAAGCTGAACGGTTCTCTCTGGTTCTTCCCGACGAGATCAAGGCGAGGTACCTGGAGGAGGGAGTCTGTCTTAGCATGCAGAATAGGATAAATATGCGTGCGCTAGCAGGAGGACTCTCAGATTTCGCTTCGATACGTGCCGCCATTCTGAAACTCGACGTGAAGGAGACCTTCCCAGTGCTCCCAACTTCGCATGCTCCGGTCAAGACGTTCGTGAATGATTCCGAAGAGGTCTCATCGTCAAGTCAGGTACCGCCTCCACAGCAGCCATGGACCTCTCCACAAGATGATGCACGAGAAGTCTTTCTGACGGACATTGATGACTCGATCGAGCTGCCCGAGGAAGATGCCGATGGGCTTTCTGGCAGCGCTCGAGGACCAGGACCTGGGCGAGGACGAGGTACTCCAGATCTTCGGAGCCGTGATCGAGGACCGTTTGGGCAAAGAAAAGCGCCGGACCTGGGCAGAGGCCAGAAAGATGAAGGCGGCCAAACGAGTAGACCGGGACTTCTTCGATAGGTGGCGTTCGACAAGGCCTGGATTTCGCCGAGTGATGATGTCCGACATCAAACGGAAGACGAGGTGTGCCAATTGCGGTGACCGAGGCCACTGGGCCGAGACCTGCAAGAACCCTTTTCGATCTAAGGCTGACAGGATGGCCGCCGAGAAGACCAGGAAGAACGACGCCCCCAAGAGCTTCTCCTTCGACCTGTTGCCGGAGTCAGAGAACTTCATCAGCGTATCTGATTGGAACGGCCTGCTGGGGGCTTGCCAGCTGGAACGGTCAGAGTTGTCGCTGCGACAGATGGGGGGCCACGCGTTAGTCGACACCGCAGCCGGCCAAGCTCTTATCGGCAAGGACGACCTCTCGGTGATGAAGGAGGCTTTCGAGCGTCGTGGCTTTCGCATTCTGGTGAAGGAGGGAACGGTCCCGGGAATCACGGCGAGTGGCATCGGAGGTCGTGTGGAGCCCGTGGCCAGGGCGTGGGTTCCAGTCAGCCTCTGGCGCTGCGGAATAGTTGAGTTTCTCGTACTTCCTCATCGGTGCCCTCCTCTTCTACCCGCACGGTTGTTGGAAGCGATGAGGGCAGTGATCGACCTCGGAAACGACGAGATGATTCTCGGTGACTTCGAGAAGGTCACACGTCCACTTGTACGCCACACAGCCGGTCACCGGTCAGTCGGGCTCATCCACTGCGACCCCGAGGACTTCAAGATCGCGGAAGAGATCTACGAGAGGATGCCGGAGGACGTGCGTCAGGACATGAGGGGGGGTTGGGCAGTAGGCAGTGACAGTCGACAGGCCCTGTCTCAGTCTCTCTCCTTCGGCGTTGGGAGTGTGTTCTGGTCCCGGGGAACAGCGGTCCAAGGATCAGGGTCGACCTCCGGAGGCGTTTCGGCTCAAAGCTCGGCTAGCAGGATTGATTCTACGCGTGTCCGTGATGGTGAAGAAAAGTCCTTCGCTGGAGACCTCGGTTCCGAAGCCCAGGAGAAGGGCAGCAGCTCAGCTCGGGTTTATCCACGAGGATGTGGAGTTCGACGACTGGAAGGAGGTCCCGGAGGAGCTGCAGAGGATCGACCTTGCCGTGGAGGACATGGGCGACCAGGACCGGGAGCTGTTCAAACTCGGGATCCTACTACTCATGCCGGTTCTGATGCGCTGGCGGCGGTGTGCTCTTCGGCTCCTCCACGTCGCGCCCACCTGTCTCAGGATCCACGGGGTGGCGACGACGTGGCCGCAGGCGGTGGAGATGAAGTTCGACTGCCAGGACGCTTGCCCGCATCCACCGTGGGCCGTCGAAGAAGGGAGGAATGCAACAAGTGTGTATTCGCACTGCCGGATGTGCAAGGCGCGCCTCTCACTGCGCGACAAGACCCCTCAGGAGATAGCCGCAGCACAGGTCAAGAAGTACGCGAAGGAGGTGAAGCGCGAGGCCGGCCTGAAGATGGAGCAGGAGTGCAGGGAGATGGTCGAGGGCTACTCGGGCCCTCCAGGGGATCCCTGGCTGGCGGAACTTCTTCCTCACGATCCTCCCCGCCCGAGGGCTCCGGGAGCTCGTCCGAAGTCGGCTGCGGCCAGCGGGTCGGGCGATATGACTCTGGAGCCGTCGCAGATTCAGCACGGGATCCCGCCGACGCTCGTCGAGGCACCGCCGGCAGCCCTCGAGTCCAGGCCACCAATTTCTCAGAGAGACCTTCACGAGCAGAAGATGAAGACGCTTCTCGATCAGATGCACATCATGGCCGAACAGCTGTCGTCGGTGCAGGAGAACCTGGTTGCGTTCCCGGCGGCAGCCGCACCGGCTCCGCTGACGGACCAGGACATCATGAGGATCGCGATGGCGATCAGGGCAGCCGACGGAATTCAGCAAGCACACGACGAGGAGGCCTCCCCGAGGATCTGAGGACGCGTTTCCCGCTAGAGGCCTGGCCGGAGCTAGGGCAGAAAAAAAAATTCGAAAGCTGGGATCCGGGACCGAAACTCAGATGATGGTGCTTCGAGATTTGGAGGTTCAGAGCAGTCGAGACCGCCTGGCTTCCAGGTTTCCTTCGGCCCCCGGGGCCGGCCGAGGCATTTGGGACCGAATCGCCGGGCACCAGGCTGACCTGAACCAGGTCGCGAAGGACCTGGGATGGAAACCTACTGTTCTTGGGACAAGAGACAAGTCAGCTTTCTTTGTCGGAGCCGCTCTTGCGAGAGTAGGGGGCAAGCCCCCGAGGGATCTGACTCCCTCTGGAATACATCGTGTACAGGTGCGCGCCTCGAGGGCAATCCTGTACGACTCCATCTGGCGTCACCTTTCATATTCAGCACTGAGCGAGATCGTCGCGAACAAACCAGTTTCGGATCTGACGGTGACCCTGTGGAGCTCGAAGCCTCTCGCGAGCCGGCTAGAAGTAGAAGGAGAAGAGAGAAGGAGAGGAGAAGAGCAGCAAGAAAGGTATGAGGAGGAGGTTGCGGGCTTAGCCGATCTTAGTGGGGACTACAACGAAAAGACGGTCAGGGGCTCAGAAGGGCTCAGGGGGCTCTGCGCTCGGGGACCTCAAGCCACTAGCTTAGATGCCACATCCCCTCTCTCTTCATCGACTCCTCCTTCCTCGGACACTAAGGGACAGCTGGGCCGCTACTACGCCGTGGAAGTTGACTCCTTTATCTCTCTGGGGATGGCGGATCCGCTCGAAGAGCTTGAGGTCCGGTCAGTTCCTAGAAACGTCCGACAGTCAGCCTCGGAGTTGCTGGAGGGGTCACGAGTTCCTCGTCGTCATTCGAGTCGTAGGAGAGTCACTCTAGAGGCTGAACGCAATAGGGGAGGAATTGTTCTGTTGGAAGTGTTCTCGCCCCAGAGGGTCTCATCCACCATGACTAAGCGAGGTTATCGTGTTTCTCCTGCCGTCGATCTCCTCACGGGGTGGGATCTGGACTCTTCTTCGGGGATAAAACGACTTTGGGATCTCATAAAGAAAGATCAGCCCCAATGTATTATCATGTCACCCGTGTGTCGTGCCTTCAGCGTTGCCTTTGCCAGCAATTGGAGCAGGATGGACGAAGGGGAAAGGAGCGAGGTTGAGAGAAAGGGGATCGCTTTTCTTCATTTGCGTTGTGAGATCGCTCTCTACCAGATTTCCTTGGGCCGAGATTTCATACTTGAGCATCCTCAATCTGCGAGTTCTTGGGACCTGGAAAGTGTCAGAACCATTGCGTCATCTCCTGGCGTTGTTTCCACGGTCCTGGATCAGTGCCAGTGCGG